TAGGCAGACTCTATTTTGAGATCCTAGAAGTGCATATTCTGGAGGGAACTCGATTTGTACATTTGAAACCTCTTACCTTTTCTTTTTCTTTGTTCTTCTCTTTCTGTCCTAGGAAACGAAAACGTATCAATTTCTTTTCTTCTTTTTTTGATGATGCATAGCATGTATGACGGGACGGGTATTAGGCAATAAATGAAATGGATTATCATATTCTTTGAATGAAGAATGATTTGGGGTATGGGGACATGATAGGAAATGATTGAAATAAATGAAGGGGGATAGGAGAAGAGGGATGTGGATGGGAGAAAGATAAATACCTTTGAGATTAATGACATGAAATGAAATGACATGAAATGGATTGAAATCACACCAAATCAGGCAATTTGTGTTTTTTTTTTTGTTTTTTTTGAATCACTGAGCAGTACTTACTGTAAGTACCTAGTAGGTAGGTAGCTAAGAGGAAATGTGGTGGTAGGGTCAAGGATGGATTTGGTGATGAGGTTGGGGTTGGGGTTGATGTTGGCTTTGTATTAGGTTGAGTTGTTGGTGAATTTATCTGGGATGAAAGTTGTTTAGATAACTGGAGTTTTATATTTTGATATTTTGATATGGAGATAGATGATTAGATGAATAGATGGGTGGATGGGTGGATGGGTGGGTGGGTGAGTGGATGGATGGATGGATTGGATTGGATTGGATTGGATTGGATTGGATTGGATTGGATTGGATTGGATTGGATTGGATTGGATTGGATTGGATTGGATTGGATTGGATTGGATTGGATTGGATTGGATTGGATTGGATTGGATTGGATTGGATTGGATTGGATTGGATTGGATTGGATTGGATTGGATTGATAAGATGTAGGATGTTCGTGTTTCTGCAAGGGATTTCGGATTTTAGATGATATTATTCATTTATTGTGTGTTGTTAATGTTGTTTGAATTGAAGTTTGAATTTTTTATATTTATTTATTTATTTTTATATTTATTTATATAGATGGATTTGTTTGACTCGGTGTGGTGTAGTGTGGTATGGTATAGTATTCCTTGGAGGAAATATATATACATGTATATGTATATATCAGTGAGGTTATCGGGAATGTATATGTATGTCACTGATAGGAATCGATTATTGTCGACTCGAGCGGGTGGATATGAGTTTGGTGAGGATCAAGTGAGATCGTTTATTCTTCATATTATCTTTTTGTGATTATGGAAACAATGAAGAATGTTAAGAGCTGGAGAGAATGTTCCTGAGTGTTAAGAAAGGAAAGGGATAGATAACCTTCCTGAGTACAATTGAAGGGGATATCTAGAATATACCAAATCCATCATATCCAGATCAAGTCTACACTTATGTTGATGTGAGATACCACTAGGTGATTTTCCTAAGGCCTGCTCAGAGATGAGATTCCGGATTGCATTGAGATGTTTAGAGATTGAGATTGAGAGAAGAAGGAGAAGGAGAAGGAGGCTCAATTCATTACGTCTATATTCTACGCATTATATTATATACCGAAGAAAGTACTGTGAAGTCGATCCGCATCGTATAAAGCTCAAGCTCGCTTAACAATACTGACTGACTGAAATCGATGGATTAGACAAATTTATATTCAGGGTATGGATGAAAAGAGCTCTAGGGAGGAGCAGTATAGCTAATAGTATACTATAGTAAAATTATAGCGTAATATAAAACTTTTGATATTATAGATAGTATGTATTAGACAATTGAATATTCATTACTATAGATATTATTTAAAGTGGATATTTATAAAGATATATGGGAAAACTGAAAAAAAAGGCAATATAAAAAATCAATATTAATCTTAAGAAAGCTTAAATAATAAAAAATACTATTCAATTATTTCTAAATCTCTTAAAATAATCGAATTCGTAAAAATAATATATAATATTGATATTTATATTTAAAGGTATCAAAAATATTAAAATTTTCAATAATATTAATAATTTATTATGAATTAATAATAATTAGATTGAATATATAATTTGATATTGATATTATTAAAATCTAGACATAATCTCAAATTCTCATACTTCGGTTTATTTAATATTAATCCAATCAGAGATTTGTATTCCCGTATCTTATCAATAGTATTCAATATTAAAATAATATTGAATATCTTTAGTGGCATTGAATTTTATATTATGTATGTATATATTTCGAAAAAAATCGATATGCACTATTAAACTAACCCGTATATAAATACGGGAAACACTATTGTCTATACTAGGGAGGAGGACGAAATGTCTAAATGGGATCACGATCTTGGGATATGCAATTTTTGAGGAACTGACTCGGACTCGACGTAATTCATCTGAGGAGATTTGATTTGTTAGGAGGGGGATGTAGAAGGTGGAAATCAGGGTGAAATTCTCGTGGCTGGCTGACTGGCTGCTGTTTGATCTTATTGAAGGTATGGCTGGCATGGTGATGGGGAAATGATGGAGTTAATAGCTAATTGTGAGAACTGAGCACTAGTTGATAAAACAAGAAGTTTACGAAAGGAAGATAAGAATTTGTTCTTTGAACTTTTTTGGGGGGGGGGGGGGGGGGTTCTTCTATACAGCTCTAGCTCTTTATAGTAATATCACTATTATCTTTATGGGAATTGTATCGATACTAAGATTCATAGAGATCTAGAGACGCCGAGAATATAATCAAAATTTAATATTGTTCTTGCTGCATACGATGGAAGTATGAGAATTTATCGAATCAAAAATTCTTTACTTCTAGTCGCCGATACATGTTTGCCGAGCATTGGAGATATATAGTCTGATATAATAAGTGGTGTTCTAGATCATGAGCTGTATATTAGGTAAAACGATACTGAAGACTCTGTATATTCTTAATAATGACTAGATCTTCTTTTACGGTTAAGTGATTGTTGTTCAGAGATCGTACCTTTTATTCTCAACGAGGGTTATCTGCTATAGTCGATGAAATCTTGAATAGTATTACAAGATGACTTTATCTGCCAAGGAGTCAGAAGTCACTACTTTATGGTGAGCACTCGGTGCTTCTAGGCTTGCCTCGAGGGTCTCGAACTAGGCATAATCAAATACATCTCGGGGTTAGAAGTCAAGTGACCATGGTGTGGTCTTTGTTGGTATGCATTGTTTGCTTGAAATGGTATGAGGTATTCAACTTCCTCTTTTATACCCGAGTTTATCTCCCTGTGGAATGACAGATCTCATGTTGTAGTGTCGTTACACTCCTGAGTGCTAGCACGGGATGTATATTAAGAAGCGGGTAGGACCCGAAACTTACAATCAAACTACTTTCATGGCTCTAGATTATATAACTTCGGACATCCTTTTCCCTTTCTGTGGAGTTCAAGCCCATGCCCCTCATGCATTAGCGTGGCATTCACAGTCATATAGTCACACAACTCGTGGAGTATTTTCGTCTGATGTCTCATTCAGTAATACAAAACACAAAGATTGGAGGTTGAACCAAATTACTTGACACTGGCACTCCCGATGTCAAATCGGCTATATGGGTTATGAGTACGCGAATGAAAGCAACGTTCCTTTTTTTATTACCACAATCTGAAGTAAATATACTGGCACAATGTTATAAAATTAGACACTACCCCTAGATTTCTGTCTTTTCCTGAACTTTGATAGTTTTCTCTTTGACGTTTGTATCGCGCATAAAACATTTTCTCGTCGACAAGTACCCAAAACTTAGGTCCAACAATTCGCACCGACGATCTACATCCACGCTTTACAATGCACCTGCTATCCGTCTTCACTTTCGGATTCACATCCGTTCGAGTTGTTTTCGGAACACCTATTCCAGTAAGAAATCTCATCTCATTGTTCCGCTTTAACGATTCAACATTCACTCACATTATCTGCATGACACTCGCGCAATTTTCGTTAACTCTTTCAAGAGACTTCTTACATCCAGAGGAAACATTACAGCATATAGTAATAATGCCCATATAGTGAGTATGCATAGAGCGCGATTTACTAAGTCCCCGTGAGACTACTGACAGCTGTCGCCTGGCCCAGGAATCCCATCTATCGAAACGATCTTTAGGTTTCAATGAAATCATTGAGTGTCCGGAAGGGTTTACGTTAAGGGATGGTGGCAAAACATTCACCTGTGTTTCTATTCATCTCAAACTGGAGAAGCAAAACTGAGAGGTTCTTGAGGATGGATGTTGATTGAAACATCAAGGCAAACAAGGAGGCTAAGAGAGCTGTTTCTGCGAATGTGTAGAATCCGCTGGAGGATAGAACTTTCTACTATCCGAGAGTTCTGGCAAATGGCAGTGTGGTAGGGTCCGGATACAAAGACTTGAATGGGCTGGCTAGCGTGCAATTTGTATCTTATAATGTGATGTGGAAATAATGGGGTTTATGGGTTCAGGAATTGAGTTTGGGAAAGACCTATGCAAATCTACACATCTATAGATGTAGTCTCTAGGAATGTATATCTCGAGAGCTGGAAGCTGTGACGCTCAATATTTTAATTCGACGAGGCATTATGAGATGCTTGAATTACAATTGGATATAGCCTCAAAAAATAAACTGCATACTTAGATTGAGAAATGAGCTCAATACACAAGAAATCTAGCACGGTCGGTGGGTCTCCCCAGGGGTGAAAGGAATATGTGATTTTCACCAAGAGAGCAGAGTCACAGACCTGCAGTGAAACGTATTGAATGATATTCGTGAGAGGTTTCCCCTCACACTCTACCTTTGGCTATTGGTTTGTTATACTGCGTCATCTTTTGTAGCACTTGCACGAGATTCGCAGAGAATGTAACACACTTGTCTTTTCATCCCTGTACAATTTTTGAATGTCACTCGCATGTGCTGCTAACACTTTCTGATGTCGGGGTGGGTAGCCAGGAAAAAGTTCTAACCATGTTCACTAAGTGTTCAGAAGCGGCCTCGAGATTAAAATTTGTTTGACTCTAACCACCTAATAATATACAATACACCAGAGCTGGTATGACACCCACGTTAAACACCATGCATCTCCGTGTCCACTATTTCACCACTCTCTATTCCAGGATCATCAACAACATCCTCAACTATAAAATCATCCGGAATTCTGAAAATTTCCAATGACCTCTGTGCGTTTTCGTCCGTGTGCCACTCTGTAGCATGTTGATTATAGTTCTTCTCATAACATTCCTCGGAGCAGAAAAGAGCCTTATGTCCACTAACCATGCAAACTTTGCACAAACACATCCCATCATGGGATACCTCCTCATCTGCACTAAGCTCCGAAAGGCAACAATCTTTCCAATGAGCGCTCAGGCAATAGTGATCAGCTTTGTCGTGATCTTCATGGTCCAGAAGTGCATGACTAGGAGAACAATAATAAGTCCTTTTATGATCTCTATCTTCTGGAACTTTGGACGCAATCCAGTCACATAAGATGCATTGTATTGCACCTTCTGGTACGGATAGATCTGCATCTTCATCACAGCCATCGTATGAGCAAGGCGCTTTACTCTCCTTTTCCACTTGCTGATGATGTAGATATTTGAGTGTATCTTTCTCCGCTTTCTTTGCTTTAGCTTTGAGATGCGCAGATTGTGCAAGGTTAAGTTCATTCAGGCGATGCTGTAACTGTGCTATCTCGGCATCCTTCGTGCGAGCACTCTCTTTCTTCATGGCGGCAACAACCTCATCGTAGGGAATTTCATTCTCAAACATTCGAGCATATTTACTTTTGTAATTCCGTACGCTGATAGAGTCCGATTCCAGAGGGATGCAGTAATATGAGATGTAAATTGGAATTCGTTGTTTATGAGTTGTAGTGTCGTGTAGGTGAAGGATGAAATCTACTTGGTCTGGGTCTGGACATGTCTTGATGTACTCCGTTAGGTAAGCATTCAAAACTTTTGAGATATTTCTCCCTTGATCTAGTTCCATTGCGATGCGGTCTTTGAATTCGATAACATCCTCAGAATCATCCGGTCTATGTGCACAAAGATCCTTCTTTAAATGTGCCCGAAATTCGTAATCTACTCTGGTGTGAATCTCGTCGAGCCTGTGGACTTTAGGTTGTTCGAACATCGACTGTAACTCTGCTTTATAGTCAAATAATTTAGAGTACCAACGATCTGGATCTTCTGAGAGATACCAATCCTGATAAGCTTTGCGAGTCTGACGATCCTCTCCGATACAACTCTCGCAATCCTTATGGTCAGTGGTGTGTGGTGTTGCAAAGGGGCTCTCGTAAAACTTTTTGATACTTTCAAGAGTCTTTCTGAGAGCTTCATGATCAATACGATAGTTATCTGCATGTTCAAGACGCTCGCCCAATGTAAGAGGATAAGTTTGACCTTGCGGTCTCAATTCAAATGAAGTATCTCTGTGATGTATGTCAGGAAAACGCGTTGTCACGTGAGTGTCCCGACTTACTCCATGACCGTTTAAACATGCGCCTCTTCGAAATTGAATTTAACTGAGGACCTCAATTCATCCACTCCAGTAAGATCGATAATTCTAAGTGATATGTGGATGGCTAAGTTTGTCAGTTATGAAGAATTCAATCTTGTTGGTTGCTCAGATGTGATTGTATAACAGCTTAGGAAATAATGCCATTTAGAGCTAGCGGCCGCTGGATGAAAGACGGACCGGGTAAACGTTCAATTACTAGTAAGTATCTCTTGACTTGATTCTTCTTTCCAGCACAACCTGTCAATCAACACAGAATGGTAAGCTTCTTTACAATTCAATCCTATTTTCCGTGATCGCGTTGCATTCGCGACCCATGTTTCCTATATATTTCCAGCGATAATGCCAAGGTAAACAACAAAATCACTACTGATACGTCCTTGGGTATAGGCAGACAAACTTCGCGCGCAGCAACAGCTTGAACAGCTCCAGCAGCGTTATGTTGGGACGGGCCATGCTGATACAACAAGATTCGAATGGACGAGTAATATTCAAAGAGATTCGTATGCCTCGTATGTGGGCCACCCGCCTTTGTTGAGTTACATGGCAATTGGAATGGGAAGTCCAAGGGAGATGGTTAGGAAAAATATGATTGAGGTGTGTAATTTTGTACACCCTAAGCCTTTTTTCTGGGCTTGGATATTATTGGAAATGCGAAAGTAGGAATTAAGATGGAGACTAACATTCAACAGAAAATGATACAACCAGTTGGAAAGCCCCCCGAGGTGCAGGATTAGCGATCTTTTTTTGCATGGAACCTTCTTAAGGAAAATGAAGAGAGGTAGAGAGGTGTGTTTGAGAACTTGCTAGCATGGCTTACAGATGTGATATTAATCATGTATTTAGGACATCCATTCGATTGAAAATAAGGGAATCGCATATCGACAACACTCATGGACACGACAAGATGATATCGGAGTGCGGAGCTAGGGGAGGATTGTTCAAATTGATATCGGCGAGGAGTCATACTATGGTGTTAATGGCGCAAACATATAATGGGAGTCAGATTGATATCATATAACGAAGCTTTATAAGAGGATAAACAATTCTACGAGTTCTCGCGTGTAATCGAAGAAATAACACATCGGACATCGCATTTGCAATAGCCCAATATCTCACATCCCCCGTTTTCGAATTCGATATTTTCAATGATGATGAATTTACCATAATTTTCTATGGCGCAATGATATCCTTTCGCCATAAAATGGGCACAGAGTTTCTCTCAAGATCAGGGTCAAGGCCCAAGATGAATTTGGGCGTAAGTGAAAACCACTAAATACTTCGTCAGGATTAATTGTGAACATGGTTCAAACTCAAGTTGCTGCAGTACTCACATACCTCACGTTTCTAGATGTGATATAAATTAATGCTTTTCCTCGTCACTCGATTTAAGAGCATTTAATGATTCGAATAATGACCCGAACTGCTTTACTCGAGCATCCAAAACTCCGTGGCCCCGATATGTGCACTACGTTTCGCAGCTAAACAATTGAATCTTCCCAAAATAACGCCCGCTCTACAACCGCAGTTACCATTCCGTTCAATGCATCAACTATTTATTCATGATCGTCATCATCATCTTCTTCAACCGCTCCTCGTCGTGGCCTTCCCCTCACGGCAACCCTCTTAGAGCTTGATGCACCATTTTGTTCGGACACTTCCGTTCCTTCTCCGTTCTCTCCATGAGTGACCTTTCTCTTTCCTAGTCCCAAGCTACGCTCCAAACGCTTATCGAGATCCTCCGGAGCATGCTCGCCATAAACCTCCTTCACCAGTCCTTGCACACCTTTTGAACCGATCTCCACCCTTCCTCGGGGTCCCACCCTCCATTCGATCAGCTCCTCTCCATCATTTCTTTCGATAGTTCGGGTTATGTAATTTTGTTGCATCATCTTCTTCAAGATGAGAGTTGTCTTGTCCAGGGGCAGATTTGTTTCCGCATCTAACTTTCTTAGAACTGACGTGAGCTTGCTGTCTGTCATTGTTGAGTCAGGGCTCAGCATTATGACAGAAACCACCGTTGTATAGAATCCTATATATGTAGCTTCATCCCACTGGCTAATAACTTTGGAAGGCTGAATAATCGAGGATGATCGGTAATCGATGGGTAGAATACTTGTGAGAATATATGAGGAAGTTGTTGTGGATTTCGATTTTCTGCTAGCCTCCTCTGAAGGGGAGTAAATTAGTTGGAAACGTAAAAAGGGAAAAGTTCAAAGTTACTCACTCAATCGGCCTTTAACAGTGACATTTTCTTTAGCGGGGAGTTCGACCATTTCCATCCCAAATATGATCCTCAGCGATTCTTGTGCCGGTTCAAAAATGGATTTAAAGGATCTCGATTGTGCTCCAAGAACCTTCTCTTTGATACCAGTTCTTGTAATTGGTAAACGCTGGAATTCGCACGCCAAGGCATATCTGACCAGTTTCTTCACAACTTGATCCAATGACTCCTCCCTATCCAAGCCCATGCCTTCACCTGTTGCATCGTCCTCATCATCGTCGCCATCCTCATCTTCTTCTGACTCTGGATCTGGGCGACGGCGTTGCTGAGTGTTCCGAGGTATTTCTTCTTCTGACTCCTCATCTTCCCTAACCTGCCGGGATAAGTTAGCTGTCAAGCGCGGGGTCATTGAGAATTGGAAAGAGTAAGATGGGTGTAAGTTACGACTTGTCGCCCACCTCTGCGGGAATTAGCTGGCATATTGAGTTATCTAGGTATGATCGTTCGTGAAAATTTAATATCTTGAATGTATTTCCGTGTTTATGATATTATCGCTCTTTCCCAAGGAGCGGGAAAAGTTAACTTGAGTTGGGGAGACGCGACCGACCGCGTTTGGTCGGAAAAACTAATGCGGAGAAAAATCGGCCGCCTTCTCCGGTTCTCAAAAAAAACATGAAGATTTCCATGACTGAAAGGAAGACAATTATAACTTTCCCTCGACGAATTTTCAATCCGCATACATGATTCGCCGACATATATCTGCGGCGCATATATGCTTGAGATGCCAAATACGATTAGATCGAAGGCCTTTACCATCCCTCGTCCGAAGAGCGTATTCTACCGAATTGGATGCAGATCATGAAGGCAATGGGTTACAGACGTCGAATGTTCAATCGCAGGGAAGTCAATTGGACAGCAATGGAGACACAGAGTTTCATACTAGGGAAAACGACATAGACACGACGAGACCCAAAGAATGGCCACCAGAATGGCACAACGATATCGTTATAAGAAGACATTATGGTGCCGTGAAGCCTCCAAGACCAAGTCGCGCCGTTGAACAGCCCAAACCAGTAAAACGGGCCAACCCAGTAAAAAATATGAAAGGATCTAATCCCAAGATCTATGGACACACTGGAATAAAACAGGTTGGAAGCAGTGTGACATTATCAGGTGTGGATGCGTTGGGGAAGAACGCTGAAGTCCTTGTCTTGCGAGATTCGAAATTGATATTTTATAAGGCGAAGAATAAGAGTCCTCTTGATGCAAGTCCAACGCCCGAAAATATTGATATTCTAGCTAGGCTTCAAAGCGAAAGAGGAATTGTCTCTTCGAAAGATGTCGAAGCACATATCAATGAATGCAAACCTGCAGAGGGAACTATACAAACGTGGGACGATTTCAACGGTCTCGTGCAATTATTGCAGAAAAGTTTCACAAATCCTCAAATGAAGAAGTACATCCAGTCATACCCACAGGAAGAAAGAATGAGGAAAGTACCATCTCTCGGTGTTGGAATTTTATACGACGAGAACGCAATTTCTCGAGCAACTCCGTGGGTACCAGAAATCTCCCCTATAAACCAGCCAGTCGATGATGATCCCTTACGGGGATACTCTCCAGCATCCTATAATTACAAACAAAATATTGCGGTAAGGATCTTAAGGGAATGTTGGCAAATAGAAGTTCCGGAACTTGTTGATGGAATAGGTGAAGTCGAAGTTCAAGTTCAGATAAAGGATCTAGACTTTTTGAATAGTGCGTAAAATCAGACTTTTGTTCCCTTCCACAACTCAGCTGATGTAGTGTAATGTCTAGGCCAGGGATACATGGAATCTTTGATCAAACAATATTATCTAAACGACCCCGAAAAGATTGAAATATATCGACCTCGTCAAGTCCTTCGTATCACCTCGACCCGAGAAAAGGCTGCCCTCATTATTGCTGAGATCCAGGATGGAATACGAAGTATTAGTAGAGAGGAGTTCCAGTTAAAAAATTTATGCTTTTCTCATTACATCAGAGGGTGGGAGAGTAGAATTCTTACTCCAGAAGTACTGGCTAAACTTGGTGAATTGACTAAAACGGATATCAGAAGATTGCCACACAAAGAGCCGATTGTTAGTCTTCTTACATTTCACTCCACGCTATATACACTAACTATTTACAGCTTCTGATTTCATCCATGGTTACCGACCGAAAAACAGATCTGTCAAAACGGGCTGATGTGGTGAGACGTCTGTTACTAGATCTAGCCCGCTTCGATGGGTCTGATCAGAATTCAAGGAAAGTTGGGTTGCGAGACTTCAACGAGTCTTCTCCCACAGTGGACTTGCCTGGGGGTTTTGTTAGATATCCAGGGTCGCGTGAGCTTTCTTGGCACGAAAGGCTTCGTACGTGGAGTCGATGGACTACAGCCACCCCTAAGTCCGTAGCCATCGATAACCCAACTGAAGCGACTCAATACACTTTTCCTTTCAACACTGTGGACATAAAACTAGCTGGAAAACCTCAGAAGAACCCCGACCCTGAAGGAGCCGAACTTTTATGGTCTCATGAGTATTCGCCCTCTACCACGATTAAAGCCGGAACTATTTTACACAATATTAGCGGTCATCGGATTGGAAGATATATCGATGATGACGTGGAGCATTCAAGGGGACCACCCGCGATTTCACCCGACAAGACATTGAATATGATCAACTTGAAGACAGAGATGGATAATGGATCAATCCGGATATTTTCCCCACAAGCACCGAATATGTCAGGACTATTTCAGTCAGATCGTATCCAAAATGGACATTTTGATAATGCAAATCAGGAACTTGTCATGCAATTCAAACCTAATCCATCGGCGGTTTGTCCAAATGGCGACACGATTGGGCCTTCCGCTTTCAAGGACTTTCCTCCGATAGAGATTTCTTTCATCATCAATCGAGAATCTTTAGAAGTAGAATTTCGGGAGCTTCATGCTATAGTTTCCACTGAGACAGCGGATTTGATGCTTCCTGAACTCAAAGCAGATCTCCAGTTTCAAAGAAGGATTCGTTCAAGAATGTTGTTCGATGAATCTAAACCCAAAAGTGGGTTGGGTGGTCTGAAATCAGCCGCAATCTCTGTGAAGAATTTCATTCAGAATTCTCAACTAGATCTAACCAGTGAGCGACAATTGGAAACACCACCGAAATTAGTCATTCCCCTCGCTAAACATCTTTGCACTGATAATGGCTGGAAACGCATGAAGGGCCAGCCAAGATCGGGTGTTGATGTTGAATATTTGTTTGCCAAGCTTGAATACAGAAAGAAGACAACTTACAATTTCAACAATCATGAAATATGCTTCACAAGTATCGAAGCAGGAAAAGCTGGTGGTTCACATTTGGAATTGAGTCTTACATCTCGATCCATGCCAAATCAAGATGAGTTTAACGAGACTATGAAGACAGCATTGAAGATGGTACAGTTGATGGATATCAAGAATTTCACAAGCATTTATGGGCAGGTGAGAGAAACGTTCCCAGAACGAAAAGAACCAGTCTTGGGCCCTGATGATTTCAAATTCATACCAAAGAGGCCTAGTGATTTCTTGGACGTGAAAAGACTGTACGGAGAAGATGATGAAAAAAGATCCAGGTTTGACAGTGCACCGGCTAAGGAGGAGGTTGATGAATCGCAGGTGTCGCCGAATAAAGGCCAGGAGTCTGAAGATCATGGAAGTGGAAGATGGTAACTGTTCAATGGATTTTAAGTTACATGGTTATGAACACTGTAAAATGCTGTAATATATGACATTATGAAACAAAAAGGGATCTGGAGTCATAAAGGAGAACATGGAGAGCATTGCTTTTGGTCTTCTATATATCCAACAGGACTCCTTTGTTAGATATTAGATGTTACTTGTGAACACTCATACAAATACTATACAACCAACTCAAACATCGGATATCCGACTTCCAACTTCAACGCAAGTTGGCAACGTACCTTTGTCTAGCTCTATATCACTGAAGTGTTGCCTTATATGTGTGACTTTCATCATATTGCGATCAATCACGGGCCTCGAGCAGGTCATTATCGATCGAATCGATCAAAGATCAGAAGGCGTGACAGCGTACAAGTCTCTCCTTGATAGAAAACTACGTTTGAAAAGAACAGTCAACTATTAATTCATTTCCATGAACATGTAGAGTGACTTCCGCGGTGCATCAATCCTCCAACATGTGTTCCGAAATAAAAATAAAAATGCGGATTCCTCGTCATCGAAGATATCTCGTTCACACATACCATCGGGGGACGCTGACACCTTGGATTTATAATTATGCATGAATAGCCGTTGTCTTTTAAGCCTTAGCACTTGGAGTATGATTGAAATCCCAGAAAGAAGATCGCTATCCACATCATTGTGGCATATGGCATTCACTACATTTCGGTCCTAGTGAGAAAGTAAAAGGCCGGATGGAAGGAACCAGTACTGTGCTTTGAGCGAGTGCAACCCGTAATCATGGATATCCATTGCGATTGGAATTTACAGCGTGACAGGAGATTCACGTTGGAGATCAGTAACCCTTCCACAACAAACAACATCTTCTCCAAGCGGGATCCACTTTACTCCTCTCAACCGAAATGTCTCCTTTCCGGGATTTTCCCTTTCTGGAAGGACAGTAACTCCCCCCTTCCCAAGCCATACTGGTGCTATAGTTACTATAACTCCATCTATAAATCCTTGACCTCCAGCGAGCATGTCATTAATAATTCCAGCACCTCCTTCGATCATCAGGCTTTCGATACCTTCTTTCCAGAGCGCTTTTAGAATATCTTGCCATGAAAATCTTCCTTCTTGGTCCGGCGATAAATACATGAACTTCCCGCTCGCCGCTCTGAGAAATTCTCTCTTTTCAAATGATATCTCATTTTCTTGCTGAGAAGTAATAATCCAAGGAGCTTTCCCTCTACCATCCTTCACCAATCCGAAAATTTTACTGTCCTCTCCGAAATTCCATCGGCCTTTAGGGTCAATTATAATCGGTCTTGGTTGCCCCTTCAAAGTTTTTCCTCCTCCATAACCTCCAACTCCTTCTATTCTGCAGTTCAAACTTGGATTATCTGCAATTGCTGTATTGACACCAATCAATATAGCATCATGTTTCGATCTCAGGTAATGCGTCATTGCTTTTGATGCTGGGCCAGATAAGGGTGAACCAATGCCGGGACGCATGGTGATCTGAGAGTCCATGGAGGTGGCAAATGTGAGTGTTGTATGTGGAAGTGACTTTAAGTGAGCAGCTGCAATAGAACTATTAGATGGTAGGTAATCATCTATTTGGGCGCGATCAGTTTCTGGGAAGCGGAGAACGTCCCTGGTGGAAGACATTGTATTTTGATGACCCGATAATCTAATTATGAATCGTTTAGAATGATAATTTCGTCTTGGAGTGTTACAGATAGCGCGTTGGAAAGAGTAATGTCAATACGATCGCATTCCCGTGGTCGGCGTTGAGTTTATGCACGTGAAAACAGAAATTCACGATCGAACAAAAGCGTCTTAGTCATGTGACTAAGATTTGTTAATACTCCTACAAAACACTTTTGTTCGATGCGACTTCCGCGACATATCTTTTTTCGACCAGATTAATCGAAACTCATTTTCTGCATTTTCCCATGTCCTTTCTCATGTATTTTGGCCACCTTTCCCGTACTCCAGTGATACAGGAAATTGAAGGTGCAGCCGGAGCGATGACATAGTTCAATTGACAGTGTCGCACTAGGCTGCTCTGATGATTTGGCGATATATCACTGTTGTGAGATGTCATAATTTTCTGCTGACGAACATATAATCCATTATTGCGTTTTACACTCATGTATCATGTCTTTGTACAACCGGGAAGTTCGGCTACAATGCGGAGAACATTCTTTTGGTGCAGAAAGACTTGGAAATCTTCAGATATTTGAATGTTAGATTGCAGTCTGCCAGCGCTTGCTCTGCCACTTTAAAGCCGCCTCTGATGTATATCTCCTTTGTATTTCACCCAGTGTAAAAACCCTTTCCCTGTCTTGTTGATCTCAATTGTTTTCTGTCCCGCCTGCGCGATTTCCTTCGATGGCTAGAAATTTTTTGAACCCTACCTACTGTTCAAACACAGCAGTCCAGTCCTCTTTCTTCATCCACTCTTCCAAAGTAGTCATGGTGCATTTCACCCCAGCCTATGTATTCAAATTAGCTACCAAGTTTCTTATTACTCGCGGATCTCATTCTCCTTCCCCCACAATAGATTTTACATACCTTCTCAATATCTTCCTTCATCCACAATGTCTCATCACCTCCATCATATCCCGGGTCGCTAGAATAGACGAACATAGCATTCAATTCCTCCCCGAAAGATTTATCCTGTTCTCGTCCCACAAACTCATCTTCCGTGCATTGCCTATATGTCGCAACCTTTCCAGTAATTTCGCTCCATAAACGAATATACTCGCTCCAAGAACAGTTGCTACCGCATGCCATGTAGCTCTTACCAGGTGGAAGCTGCGAAACGGCATAAACAAAAGAACCAAGATCACTGTTTATAGCAATATGAGGAACTGCTTTATTCGGGGTCGTTGGGAAACTCATTTGGAAAGTTCCGTCCGGTTGCTATTCAGTGTCAGGTTAGCTGGTGATATCTCCTCATATCACCACATACGGTTGTGGAGATGTCAATAATAAAATGACCATCCTAGGCATTTTTGCGATATATAGACGGACGAAAAAAATAACAAACCTTTCCCAAATAACTCTTCACAGCCAATTTATAACTACTTGTAAAGTACCCCGTCATAACACAACTCATTTTTCCAGCCAGTTCCCCCTCTCCTCCATATTTCTCCCTCACATAATAAGGGAAAATATCAGCCTTTGCATCATGATGATACACTTCCGTAAACTTTCCTTTACTAGATTTTCCGGCATGACTCAACGTACTCGCAATGAACCCATTTACATCAAGTCCTGAAACGACACTCGAGTGAGCAGTAGCATTAGCGATATTCTTTCCTTGTCGATACTCAACATCATAGGCATACTTCCGGCACGAGATTCCAAGCTCCTGAGCTTTTTGACGACAATCGGGACGGAAGAAAGGTTCCCAGTAATTTGTGACGCTAAATATCAGGTGCGCACCCTGAAAAGCAGGGATCAAAGAGTTTACATCATCTAAGTCCGCTTCCACGATCTCAACGCCTTGCGCGGAGAGTGATTGAGCTGTGGCGGATGATGTATTTCGTGTTATTCCGCGGACTTTGTAGTTGGAGTCCTGAAGAAACCTTTGGGCGACGGAATTCCCTTGATTGCCTGTTACACCGATGATTACGATTAATTTGATCATAATGATTGGAGTGGGGATAGGGATGGAGATGGCTTTGTTTGAGCAATGGGATGATTATTGATTGATAATTTTTGGAGATGGCACCGGAAAATAACCTTATATTAAAGTTAGGTGGGGTTTCACACTCTACTCTACTCACCCCACATTCATCCAGTTTTTTCATTCGATGTCAATGTAGGTAAGCAGCATCCATTTACGACTTGCTAAATAATGCAGGAACATATTTGAGAGCTCAGCTCCACATCGTCACCGTCATGACTCTCTCGTTTTGGCATACACTGAAACTAGATTCACAAATCGAGACGGTGTCGAATCAGATTTGGAGACAGTGATATGTCAAAAACAAGGTGAACAAGCAGATAGATCTAAAATTGACATTTGAGATAATGTTTTCGTTATTTACAAATCCTCAACCACTATTTCGTGGTCTTTTCCATGCTTTTCCATCCCCCTATAATCTACTAAAAATAGTACAAGTATGCAGGCTTAAAGATGAATGCCATTCAGAGAAAAACATCAAAGTAGCTTGGTTGTACAACTTCATCCCTAGAACTCTTTCTTCAAGAAGAACAAATTATCATAGAAATATGATATTCAAAAAGCAGACCGACTTTCTAGCGAAGGAAGACCCTCCCAGTACAAACCATATTCATTCGTGGTTTCGTTTATGTTCGTTTTCATGCGAGAAGATGAAAATACAAGAACCTCTTTGTTGTACTCCGAATGAAGTATGCCAGCTCACACGATCGAGCGCGCATAGACATACACTTGCCCAACTATAAATGGATGAATGCCAAGTTTATGCTAACAGGCCAAAACCTCGGCATGGATGCAACGGAAGGTAGAATTCAATTTCTAAAAGCCTGGTTGCCGGCATGTATCCGTTGATCGAAATGGCTTCGCTTCGGTGAGTACTGCTGAACACGCCGAGGATAGGAGAGATCTCTTCATACAAGTTATGATTTCCGCAAAGGTCCAAATCAAATTTGTGAACAATGCACTTGCTAATATTCTTGAGGAACAATATCGCTCACGATGTAGACGAAAATTGATGGTAATTTCTCGATGTACAACAAGTAACCCTTACTGATCTTACTAAATACCAGAGGTCGAAGAGAGAATTCCTTGAGACTAATTAGAAATTTAAAGTCTCTTCAGCTTGAATGGAAAGCGGGCACATCAGATTTGTCAAATCGAAACTAGTTTTTGGATGTGCCCGCTTTTCCGTCCACCTGGAGAGTAAAATTTGCTGGAAATTTCAAGTGTGGGATTGTGGGGTTGTGGGGTTGTGGGGTGAGGGGGACCGAGATGAGATCACCATTTATCTCACCGTATCTCGCGTATATTGTCAAGTTCAAATCTTTACCCCATCTTCAACCTTGAAAGTTTTGAAAATGGTATAGTTTCCATTGACCAATTTTGCTATCCGTTTGCCAATGCTTGATCTTAATGTTTGGTAGAATTCTCGGCCACATTGTGCAAGCGTACCCGTTCAGTTTTACCCAATCACTTAAGGTTTTCAGGACATTAGCTCTTGGTAATCATGGTGGACGGAATGGATATGTTGACAAGAAGAGTGGACGTGATAGACGTCCTCGTGAGTGGGAAAATGCAAATGGAATCGAGATTGCTGTACCTACTTTCAGTTTCCAGGTGTTTAAAAGCTACAGGATCCCGCCTCATTCTCTAGACTCCCACTTGTATACCAATTGCAAACAATGAAGTCCCTCAATCCAAAAAGTCTGCTCCGTGCAGCTTTGCTTTCCACTGCATTATGTGCTCCGAGTATCACAAATGCGCAGGATGTTATCACCGATGATACATATTTCTACGGACAATCTCCACCCGTGTATCCATCCCGTGAGTTCCCATCTTCCAATCTTTCATGAGTTCCTATCTCTCTTTGGACAAATGACTTATACATGCCACAGCCGAAATGCCAGGGAACGGATCATGGGCATCTGCTTATTCCAAAGCTGTCGCTCTGGTTTCCCAGATGACCATGGCTGAAAGAGCCAACCTCACAGTTGGGAAATCAGAAGGCTTGAACGGTTGTAATGGCCTAACAGGCTCTGTACCGCGACTCAACTTCAAGGGTATCTGTATGAACGATGCCGGAAATGGTCTTCGTGATACGGAATTGGTGAATTCCTGGCCTAGCGGTGTCCACATGGGTGCAAGTTGGAATAAAAATTTGACTTACCACAGAGGGTACAATATGGCAAGGGAATTCAGAACAAAGGGTATCAATGTTGCTCTTGGTCCTGCTGTTGGTCCTCTTGGAAGAGTTCCAATTGGTGGGAGGAATTGGGAGGGAATGGGCAATGATCGTAAGTTTTCTTTCAGTTACTTGATTCCCCAAACTCATCCTCTTTTTGGCAATGCCTCGAGACAATCTGAATGTCGCTAATAATAAACAGCATATCTTTCAGGAAAGCTCGCCGCACAAACTGTTTCCGGAATACAAGATGCTGGTATAATAGCATCGGTGAAACATTTCATTGGGAATGAACAAGAATATAAGAGAAATCCATCGGGCAACATTTCTGCCATCTCGTCTAATATCGATGATAAAACAATACACGAATTATATCTTTGGCCGTTTGCCGATACCGTGCACGCAGGAGCTGCCTGTGTCATGTGTTCATACAATCGACTCAACAATTCATATGCCTGCCAAAACAGCAAAGCTCAAAACGGACTTTTAAAAACCGAATTGGGTTTTGAAGGATTTGTTGTAAGTGACTGGGGAGCATTGCACGCTGGTTATGCAGCAACAGAGGCTGGATTGGATGTTGTCATGCCAAGTTCAGATCTCTGGGGAGTGAGTGGTGAAAATTTGACAGCATCCGTTGCCAATGGGTCTCTTGCGGAGTCAAGATTAACCGATATGGCTACTAGAGTTGTGGCCAGTTGGTATCAAATGGGTCAAGATGAAGATTTCCCAGAACTCGGGTTGGCCTCTTCATATTTGACACCACATGCGAAAGTCAATGCCCGAGATCCTTCATCGAAGCCAATTCTTTTGAGCGGAGCAATGGAAGGTCATGTTTTGGTTAAGAATATCAACAATGCTCTTCCCCTTAAGAAACCCGAATTGCTTTCCATTTTTGGTTACGATGCACCCGTATCAAGTCAGAGCAATATTGGAAATACTCGATATTCGTATGGGATGGAAGCTATCTTGGATCTCAATATAACCGATACTCCCATCGATATCTCATTACAAATCGCAAGCAACGGAACTCTCGTCGCTGGAGGTAAGATGAGTTCGATGACCCCAACAAGATAGCACATATTAACAACATGTATAGGTGGAAGCGGCTCAAATGCCCCACCATATATCTCTGCTCCTTTTGATGCGCTACAAGAACAAGCTTATAATGATGACACAAGTCTTTTCTGGGACTGTAAGTATTTGGCAACTTATGTTTTTAAGTCTTACTAATAGATTATAGTCGTCTCCGTTGATCCTGACGTAAATACCGGCTCGGATGCTTGTCTTGTATTCTTAAACGCGTATTCTATCGAGAATAGTGATAGACCTGGTCTTTACGGTTAGTTGAACGTTCCCTATCATACTAAAGAATAACAATACTAACAGATGTAGATGAATTTTCTGATACTTTGGTAAAAAATGTTGCATCAAAATGTAACAACACTATTGTGACCATTCATAATGTTGGAATACGTCTGGTTGATCAATGGATCGAGCATCCAAACGTTACCGCCGTGATTTTTGGTCATCTACCTGGTCAAGATAGTGGACGAGCACTTGTTAAATTGTTGTATGGCGTTGAATCATTCTCTGGTAAATTGCCATATACGATCGCAAAGAACGAGTCGGATTACAATGTGTACAATCACTCGGTACCTGAGGGTATTTATACACAATTTCCACAGAGCGATTTTTCAGAGGGTGTCTATCGCGATTATCGCGATTTTGATGCTAAAAATATAACTCCAAGATTTGAATTTGGGTTCGGATTAACCTACACTACTTTTAAGTATTCCGACCTCTCAAGTTCACTTGTTTCGAATGCGAGCACAGCTTACTTACCGCCAATTACCACCATCATCCAGGGTGGAGCCCAGTCTCTCTGGGACGTTGTCGCAAAGGTTCAAGCAACTGTATCAAACAACGGTACAATGGCCGCCATGGAGGTTGCACAATTGTATGTCGGTATTCCAAATGGACCAGTTAGACAATTGAGAGGTTTCGAGAAAGTCAACATACCAGTTGGAGAAAGCGCGGTTGTGGAATTTGAGTTGACGAGAAGGGATTTGAGTGAGTGGAGCGTGGAGGAACAAAGTTGGGTTTTGCAACAGGGAAGTTATGGGATCTGGGTTGGATCGAGTAGTAGGGATTTGCCACTGAGTGGAAATTTGATCGTTGGATGATCATGAAATTGGAAGAGATGTTAAATGAATCGCCGAGGATAATGAATAGTAATGATAATGATACTATCACCAAAACCAGAGTTTTGATATATTTTTTTTAGGACAACAAGAGACTGTTTGTGTTGTGCGCTCTCTGTAGTGAGACTGTAGGAATGTCTTACACTTTGTTATATCACGACGCTCCTCACCAAAGTCCCCTGGCGCCTTATATCCCGTTTTGGTACAAATCAAATATAAAACTTCCTTCACGGAGGAACGCCAGTTTTTGTTTATCCATGAACTTCGTATGGATACTTGATGTGAAGTCTGGGAATGAATAAATATACAGGACTTCCCGTTATCTACTCGGGGACTTCGGAATCACATCACGATAAATCTCTCCGTAATCTTATAATTATTCAAGTAGGGAAATTGATCGAAGCCGCCAGACTCCGTACAAGATGTAGAAGTTATTCAAGATACCAGCTAAACTTTTGCCAAAGTATGTATGTATAGCTTCATCTCCATACCTATGAAGTGATTTTGTGGTAAATTGTAAAAGTACGTGTTCTATGAGCTCCACGTGTTCTTGACGTGTCACTAGCTTTAATACATGTACTAGATTGGTGTTGGTGTTGGTGTTGGTGTTGGTGTATCAGATCTGGTCCGTAATAAGCTTGCCAACTTATCCTTGAGCTCTCTCCACTTGGAGTGTTCAGAACTTCAGGGTCTCTTGAAGAATACTTACTCGTACATCGTGGCTAATAATAACAATAATCATAACCTTCCAATATACCTAGCGGCCACTTTCCAGATGACGATAGACTCAGCCACCATCAAATCAATCCGGCAATCCGGGGCACAGAACTTGAACATTGACTCGCTCGAGATTGATAGGATGAGACGTTTTTGTTTCATCGATATACACATGTACTCGGTACTAAAATGCAATCCCTCAGAGGATATCGTAGATATACATTGATCTTGAAGGGAAGGCTGTGTTGCTTGGCGACAGCGATGATTTGTGAGTTGACTACCTGGGTATTGAGGGTTACGACGAGGTGACGAAATCAATCTGGATACTCGTTGCCACATGATGACTTTGAGAATAAGCTGGTAGGTAGGCGGGCAGTTAGGTCGTGAGGTACTAGGTACCTAGTAGTTGGGTTATTCTTCTTTGTCCCAGTATATGTATGTATCGTACCTATCTAGGAATGAATGTATTCAAGTCGTTTCAAACACACTACGCCCTATTATTGTCAACAACAAAATCCATCCACGATAGTTCAAAGTAAATATTCCATTTGGGAACATTCAAAGGACCATTCTCCGTCTCCTCTCCTTCTCCTTCTCCTTCTTCTTCTTCTCCTTCTCCTTCCCCTTCTTACCTGCCAATTGAAGAAATATATCGAATTTTTCGACCGAATTGGGGTTTCATAAAACTACGCCGCATTGCTGCATTTTCCAGATTGCTATCATATCAGCCTTCTTCTTCACGGTTACCTACCGCCCTTCCCCAAAATAACCGCCCCCATCAGATCAAAACCATTTTTCTTTCCTCGAAAATCTTATACAGGAAAAATATATCGAAGAATACCTAAGCAACCGAAACAAACTGTGTGTCGAAGATATCAGTTGAAACTTCATGCAGAACATTGACGCTCGACAGCCTATGGTGATATAGTTTAAGCAACGGCTTTCGTTATCGCAGTACATAAGATCTCACTATCGCATTCTCTACAAGATATCGGCATCGATTTATCAGAAGATAGAACGCGTCGCAGATTATTAGACGCAGTTTTCGCAGTCGCAGCCATGAAAGCCATGAAGAATATGGGCATGAATCGCATGTTGGGTTCACTGAAGCGATGTAGGTAGATCTCGGAGGAAGTTCCACTACTTATGCGCCATAAAGTAAGGGGGGTTGATTTGTATCTGACTGACCATGGAAATTCTCTCTTGTAGCCAAAGATTCCAATGAAGAATCTGGAGATCCTCAACACGATACACCCGAAGCAAATGCAGCCAGAAATATTGTATGTTATTCTTGGAAATGACCGAAAGTTATGGTATTGATCGTAACACAGCGCTTGTTCTGCGAATCTGGGGGTCCAAATGGCTCGGTATGTACATTCACCTCACTTGGAATATCCATTCGCAAAGTATTATGTCTAATATTTTACAGGGTGAAGAAGTGGGTTACCTGCCTGCGATAGTTGAAGCCGCAGAATCCTCCCCGGGAGCTGCGAAAGAATGCGCCTACCATATTCGAAAGTTCCTCTCCAAAGACAACCACAGCAAAGCCTACGTACAATACAATGCGATAATGTTAATTCGAATTCTGACCGATAACCCTGGAATGACCTTTACGAGGAATATGGATGCAAAATTTGTGCAAACGGTCAAGGAGCTTCTGAGAACTGGAAGGGACCCAAGTGTCAAGCAGATATTGATGGAAACTTTGATCACATTCACGAGAGACAAGGCAGATGATGAAACACTGGCTCCTCTAATTGAGATGTGGAAGAAAGAGCAAGAGAAAATGACGAAAGTAGCAGCAAGTTTCCCCAAGCATTATGGCCGATGGATTTTCTCTTCTAATACATCACAGGGCCCCGCAGGTCCGCGAACCCTCGTCGCTCCACCCTTTGATCCCAATGCGCAGAATTACTTTGGACGAAATCACCATACTCATCGCCTCCCTCCTCCACATGAACTCTCGTCCCGTATCGAAGAGGCACGCACTTCCGCAAAACTCCTCTCCCAAGTCGTACAATCTACACCTCCTTCCGAACTCCTTGCTAATGAACTTATCCGAGAATTTGCTGATCGTTGTCAATCTGCAAGCAGAAGTGTACAAGCGTACATGGTTTCGGAAAATCCAGCACCAGACAATGATACTATGGAAACCTTAATTGAGACCAATGAACAATTAAGCAAAGCTATGAATCAACATCAAAGAGCAGTGCTACATGCGCGGAAACTCATGGGGCTTGGGAATGGAGATAGTACTCCTCCGGCTGGAACAAACTCTGGATTTACACCACCACCTGGTCCGCCGCCCAACCAAGTTTCCAAACCTATTCCAAGTAATGGTAAGAGATCAGTGCCACCGATTCCTCCACCAGGAGATATCGCGCCTATGGATGACGAAGACGATGAACGAAACCCTTTCAGTGACCCAGAGCCAAACTCATCAAGGAGACCACCGTTCCCTTCTGATGCGCCACCGAAAACGACTGGTCAGTTCAATGATACTCTTGGTGTCGAACCATATCACCCTGGATTCAAAGAAACCAAGAGCTATGTCGGAAGGCAAGATAGTAGTATAGGCAATGTTACAATGCATGCTGCAGTCAACGAGGTATCAGATGATGAGGACGACGAGCCAAGATACTCGGTAGCTCAGGGTAAACAACCTGTTTATCGATACTAGAGGATTTCAAGAATATATAACACAAGGGTAGAGAGATTCCAAAGCTTGGGGTGAATATTGAAGAATTGATGCATTTACGATTTGACGGATGTATATTGGAGCAATTTTCTTGGGTTGAGAGGGAAGCGGCATTGTGATACCTTGGGGTTTTAAGATTTTTAAGTGGAATTTTTAATGGGTGGTCGTAGCTGTCAATTTAAGATCGAGATTGTATTCTTTCGATCCTATTTTCTTTCATTCTTGAGTTAAAGGGCTGCAGGTGTCCAAGAAATTGGACGGAATCGATCAATATATTAGATCAATCGGGTCCGATGATCTCTAGTGTATGTCAGTCCATCTCCCACTGCGGAATTATCATTTGCAAGCTGATAGATTGGAATGCATTCAAAGCTCAAAGTGAGATAGATGTCTGAGGGTCTCCATCTGCCTTCGACGTTAACCCCCGCATGATTTTCGGGCTAAGACGACCGAAGTGTAAATTGTAGATTGAAAGGGCTGGAACTCAGCGGAAACTTTGGGATTGTATCGACAATGCTTCATCCCATTTATGGGTATTCCCGGTCCCGAATTCGAGATTACCACTATGCAGGTACATATTCAAGTAAGTGCCATGGCAAAGTTATGATAAGATTCTCATATCAAAGATTGGGCGAACTTGTTATCAACCGCCTATCAATCGTATAAAAACGCCTATCAACACGCCCCACTAATACACAGTTGATGTATGGATCTAGCTTGAGCCGAATATAACCCACCCGAGCTTCAAGCTTCCTTATCAGGTTTACCCCCTGACTTTTTCCCCGCCATCTCGGAAATACCCTTGCCTCGAGGTCTATTATCAAAGTGAGTGTGGAAACCAATAAGATAACAACTGAACAGTCAATTAGATCTTCAAGCAAGTACCTCGTATGAGACTCATTCAAGGTTTTCCCCAATCATTAGATGGGGAACATACGCGGCTCAGTCATGTTTCCTATCTATGTTTCCTATCACTATGTTGCGGTATCAAGTATTCCTGCAAGTTCCTGCATTATCTAGAGTTATCCTGCATTATCAATAACTCTAGATAATGACAAGCCGATTTCGGTGTCCATGATTTGATTTGATTTGTATAAGTATTCACCGTTTGCTGAGAAATCAACAATTCAATACTACCATACCACTCTTGTCAAGAACAGTGAAGGCAATGCCAATCCCTTTCATATAATAACAGAGAACCGCAGGAATAGCTTCCAATCCAACTCCATTATTGACATATTTCCTCATTCTTGTAGCCTTCGTTCTTTGCCCCATTGCCATCAACTTTTCGTATCAGTTTCCGGCTTGAAGTACCAAGATGTTGTTCCCTCGCCGTCTTCCTCACGTTCTCAGTGTTGCCTTGGCAGCTTTACCTTCCATAAAAGCAACATCAATACCACTAAACTCGACCTCACATAATGATGGAAAGAATGGAGCCGTTGCTAGTGAAAGTTCCATTTGCACAGATATTGGTATTGATATTTTGAAAGTCGGAGGAAATGCTGCTGATGCTGTTAGTTCAATCATCCCAAAATCTCTGGTCAACTTTTAGTTATTCTAATTCCTACTAGATCGTTGCCGTACAACTCTGTGTCGGAGTAGTTGGAATGTATCATTCCGGCATTGGAGGTGGTGGTTTTGCAACTGTACGATCAGCCAATGGAAGTTACGAGTTTATTGATTTCCGTGAAATGGCTCCCGCCGCCGCTTTCGAAACAATGTATTCCCCTCCTCTCTCCAACTCTGATGCCTCCCTCTATGGTGGTTTGGCAAGTGGTGTACCAGGAGAACTCCGTGGTCTCGAGCACATCCACACAAAATACGGAGTATTGCCATGGAAACAAGTCGTACTACCTGCAGTTAAGGTTGCTCGCTATGGTTTCAATGTTACTGCCGATTTAGCCCGCTCCATGGCTTCTTCTACAAGTTCCTACGATTTTTTGACGTATGACGAAACTTGGGCAATTGACTTTGCACCAAATGGGACCAGAGTCAAGTTGGGTGACTTATTCACAAGAAAAAGATATGCGAATACACTTGAAACCATTGCCGAACATGGTCCAGATGCATTCTACACAGGCGCCATTGCAAATGCTACAATCGTTGCACTTCAAAAATCCAACGGAACGATGGAACTTTCGGATTTGAAAAATTACACTATCGAATCTAGGATCCCTTCGAATATTACCTATCGAGGTTTTAAAATTCATAGCGGAACTGCTCCATCCAGCGGTGCTGTAGTTTGCAGTGTTTTTAACATTGTTGAGGGTTATGATATGTCAAGTCCAAGTCAGCTGAACTTCTCAACTCATTACCTAGATGAGGCAATGCGATTTGCTTATGGTCAAAGAACCTTGTTGGGAGATCCAACTTTCCTCCCAAACTTGACAAGTTATCAGCAGGAGATGTTATCAGAAGATACAGCTGTTGAAATCCGATCCCAAATCGAGAAATATCATACTTTGAATGCATCCGCCTACAACCCTCAAAGTTATGGTATTCTTTCTGATGATGGAACATCTGCTTCCGTTGCTGCTGATAAGAGCGGTCTCACAATTGCCATGACATCTACCATTAACACATTATTTGGAAGTAAACTCATGGTTCCAGAAACGGGTGTCATTATGAACAATGAAATGAATGGTAAGATCTTTAATTCAAACTTTGTTTTTATTTTTCTGCATCATATTAAGGACTCTCTAGATTTCTCTATCCCAAATACCACCAACGCTTTCGGTTATGCTCCCGCCCCCGCAAACTTCATTCAACCCTTCAAGCGACCCCTCTCCTCCATCTCCCCAACCATCGTTGAATACCCCAACGGTACTGTCTACATCGCCCATGCATCTGCAGGCGGCTCCCGTATTATCACAGAAGTAATCCAACATCTCTGGCACGTCCTTGACCAAAACATGACTTCTGCCGAAAGTCTCCGTCAACCAAGATTACACGATCAATTATCTCCTAACAACGTCTCCTTTGAGTATGGATCCGAAACTTTCGGTATCGAAGGATACAGTAATGAAACCACCGCATTCTTTGAGGAAATCGGAGCAACAATTTCGTTTGTAGCGGTGGGAAGTACGACTGCGCAGGCATTGAGGAGATTAGGAAACGGAACTTTTGAGGCAGCAGGTGAACCCAGACAACTTAATAGTGCGGGCTACACGATTTAGATCTTAGGGGTGGCAATAAGAATACGGTGTACATGTGACATGATAATGAAAAGTTTATTATTCCCCTACTACTCCCTATCGCTGGGATATGTACTTTAGAAATTTGACAATAATAAGCATTTTAGTTTACGATTTCATAAAAAGCAATTTGAAACTTCTTTCAATTCAAGCCTTTGTCTTTGGCCATCATTGATTCAATTCTAGAAGGAGAATCTGCAGATAACATGCTACATGTTATCTTTGTATTTAATTGGGTTTTCTGATCACTTCCGAATTCTAGACTTTGCCTCATGCCCTACCTGGGTATCCACGGATTCTACCATTTTACCCCATCACCATAGCAGAAATCACGTCTATCCTCGGGAAATATGTATAACGTTGAAATCATGACTCCCAGCCGGACTCGGTATCAATAAAAAGACTTCATAGTAAAGCGGATTTCCAAAGAGTGTTACAAGATTGAAAGTTAAGAAAACTATACTTGATAGTCGAATCAAATTATTAGCCGAAATCTTTAAAGTTGAATGAAGGGATTGTTTTATTGAGATATTGAGAAAATTGGGTATGATGAGAGTACATAGTGTATGACAAGAGATGTCTATGTAATTAGATAAATCGGCAGTTTTCTCAGAGAGAGACGAGCATAATAAAACCGCAGTTGATATCAAATGACACCAGAAATCATACGACCAGCGATTCACATCTAATTAATTTGTGCCGCAGGAATTTCCTATGATAAACAAAAGTGTGAAATGAAGTATTCATATGCGAAACTATCAGAACATTTGGTTCGAATGGAAGTATCTTTCAACGTTCGTTATGGCTCATTGGATTAAGACATAAAAATGAACAAATCAACTGAACCCCGAGTGTTAATGATAACTGTAAAGTTATCAACTATTCCGATAACAAGTCGATGGACCCTTAAGTTGGGGTATATGCAAAAGGTGGCATGTAAGCTACGAAGATCATTGAGGCGATCAATCATACTGCATAACATTGAAAAGCATGAGTTGGGGACGGAAGATTTTCGATGCTGCCACAAATGGGTAAGATCATCAACAATGTAGCATCCAAGCATATAAATAGCGAGCAGATCTTATTTGACTAACAATAGATGATAGATGTGAGCTAGTACCACACAAGGATATAACAAAATCATTAAATGATAAATTTGATCCTTTTAAGAAAGGATCCAGAGAAAGAAATTAGTGTTGACCAAGGAGACGCAAACTGGTATACCAAACACACCACCATTAAACCTCAAACCATCCATAAAAATCAACCGGGCGATTTTCCTTTTGATATCTCATCGCATATTGATCTTGAGATACGCGCCATTTTTCCATCCTGACAATATACCTCCAATGACCTCCAGTAACCAACTGAGAACTCCCTACAAACAGCCCCGGAACGTCATAAGAAGAGAATAAAAATCCATGTATTGTTTCCAAGAATCAGGAACACATCAATGTTGTTGGCGGCCTTAATTCTAAAAGATATCCAAGACGAACGTAGATGCCAATATGAGATGATAAATTAATCGGTCATCCTATCTTTGCTGATGATCTGATGTGTACATGTTCTAGTTCATATCGTAGTATTCCTGTAATATAATTTTGTTATTGAGTAGTAGCCGCAGCCGCAGCTGAAGCCATCTGTGCTAATAATGTATGTTCAGCAGAGACTCTTCTTTCTTGCTCTGGCTTTGATTGTGGTGATCTGACTGGAACAGTGGCGGCGATGTTAGGAACGTGATTGTTAGTTTTTGTGGCGTTTTGAGGACGTAATTCAGCCTCTAGACCAGAAAGAATTGACATGTGCTGTGCGTGGGTCTATAAAATTAGGGATTTAGTAGGGTGATTGATTTGTGGAAAGGATGACAAAAGAAAAAGAGAACACTATTAAAGGGTTGAATAACAGTAGATGTGACAACTTACTGGAATTTGTCTACCTGATCCACTTGCTCCACCCGCTGCTATAGTAGTAACGCCACCACTAGTTGCCAAAGTAGATCGTTCTGGTGTATGCTTTTTATCAACAATTAACAACCCATCTTCTGATGAACCGCAAGAATCTCGCTGTGCAGATGCAGATGCTGTTGCTTCGAGTTCACCATCCTTGACATCCTTCCAAGAACATTTGGCATGCTTCTTTGTGCATGCAGCACAAGCAGTCATATGCTTGGTGCATGTAAATCGTAAACGTCGACATCGATCGCACGGTGGTGTAATTGGATCTCCTTTGTGGAGTTTCTCAATTCTGGCAGCCATCAAGACACGATATTGCCCTTCGATCCCATCATCAGAGGTAGATGGTGGTTGTGATGCTCGTTGGTGATCAGAACCTGGGGCTGTACCATTGAAAGAATGAAAGTTTGAGTGCTCAGAATTATTAGGGCGGGGTTGCTTTGATCTTGGCTGAGATGGTAACGATTGACGACGGCTTGGGCTATGAAATTGTTCCAACAAATCTTGTTGCAGCTTGGCCGTCTCACCATTCAAGGGAGCAGGTGATCTGCTTCGATTGACGGCAGAAAATGGTTGAGATGCGAATGGAAGGGGGGATTCAGTAGGTTGTTCGGGAGATTTTTTTGCCTTGATAGCATTCTTTCTGCCTTTCATGTGATAGTTGAGTTGTCTTGCTTTACTAGCAACTGCATCGGCCTTTTTGATCAACATTGTAAGTCGATTCTCGAGAATGAGAAGGGTACCAAGTTCAGAGTCCTCATCTTCTGGCAGAGGTTGACTTGGAATCATCCTTTCCGGTGCACCTGACATGATCAATCGATAATCGTCTTCAGATATTTCGACTTGACCTCCATTGATCCAGAACCGACAAACTTTCATGCTATGTAATGCATCGCTAAGAATAAAGTCTGCTGGGTTACTACGCGCGAAAGAAACCACTTCCAACCAGGTAATTGGCGTTTGTTCGAGAGCATAGGAGCTTTGGACGACTTTGATTGGGCCGTCAAAAAGCTTTTCAAATGATTTCAATAGCAAAGGACCGACAAGTTTCGCACCGAGATTAGATGCCAGACTTTCGCGTCGTTGAAGAACACCTAGTTACGTTATTATTATATCCCTCAATGGTCACCACGCACAAGTAGAACTTCCTCCCTTGCTCCCCCACCGAGCGGGAATCAATACACGTGATTCAAGTACACACCTTCATATTCGTCCAACATGCTCAAAACATCTCCGAACGTTTCGGAATCTCCTTCGACCAGTTTAAGTTTGTCGCTTCTGGCTTTGACTAAATAGTTGATTTGCGCAGCAGCTGTTGGGGTTGCGCTTTCGCCCAATCGAGGAGCTTGTGTTATGCGTCCATGACCCTGACTTCCTGAACTTTCCGGGCTACGTTTCCGTTTTTCACCTTGGGGCTCAGTTGTAGGCTCCATGATTATCGCTGCAATTCAATTGTTTGGAATGGCAAATTGTAATCTATATGTCGATAATACGTAGGTGAAGAAAGGTGATGAGGATGAGCGGAGGGGGAAGGTGGAGAAGTAGGAGAGGCGGAGAGGTGAAGCCAAGTTAAGAATAAAGAAAGGGAGGAGCAGAGGGTGATTTTAATGTTTCAAGTCAATTGTGAGATTGAAGTTCGAAGTGCAGATTGATAGGAGACAGACAATACGAGTTGTGGTTACAAGTAAACAAAGTTTGGATGGAGGATTGTGAAGGAACTGTTTTGTACAAAGCGGAAGATGGACCTCCGCCGGTCGCGCTTTCCTCGGTTGAAGGTTAAACCTTAAAGAAACACCCACGTGATGAGACCTGGGTTGTTCACCTAGGAGCCAAGGTACCTGGCTCGCCTGGTAAGTTTCCACTCGGGAGATAAAGGGAGATGAAGGTGTGAAGAGACCGATCCCATTAAACACGAGAGAGGCAAGGAGGTATCATTCCACGGGTTAGAGTTGGAATGTTTGATTCATCAATAAATGATTGATGAATCGAGCCTCAAAATACCTCTCCAGAATGGTTCTAAGAGGAGCATCTCAATGCTCCATCCGTCCCGTTCCTTTTATTTATATATAGTCTTGATGTAAGATACAAGGTATACGATGTAGGGTATATATATATATATAGATCATTTCTTCTCATCCGTTCTATTTTAGCTGAGAAAAACCTCCGACATTCCGCTCCCTCCCCTCTCCACTGAAAGAGGGAGCACTGTTCAAGTTGATGTTCAAGTTGAAATATATGTATTGCCATTTCTCTCCGATGTGACATGATTAGATATTCGTCTACCCTAGCCATCTCCAGGAATTCTCGCATATTTATCTATCGCACTCTTGGTGAAGAGAGATAATTCAGTATGTGTTTGGGTGGATTGATCTCCCCTCACTTGCCGTTGAGTTGGATGGACTATGAAAGAACCACACAAAGTACAGGATATAGATATTGCAATTCTCACCAATGCACCACTCATAAATCTCAAGCAGTCATTTGAGTCTATAAATGTACGATGCCGTATCTATATTCTCAAAATTGGAATCATGCCCAGGTACCTAGGTAGGTACTGGTGGTACAAATTAAAGCGATCAAACCTACAATTTTTTATGATGTGATGAATAACCATCGACGAGGCTGAGGCCTTTTCAAGCCCCGCCACTGGAAACAACCATCAATATGGATTTACATACATTACCCCTTCAGCTGCATACAAAACAGCCAGAATACTTCTCTTCCAACCAATTTCCCACACTCGTTTTTACCATCGTTTCAATACTTTACAAACCGTGAGCTTCCTCAAATAGAACAATAGTTTTTTTTCTTTTCCGCACTGCACTGCCACTCACTAACAATTACGAGGTAGTCTTGCAGATCTCATTCATTGATATAAAAGGGGCAGCCGCGCGCTTTATCCTTCTTCCCGATAATACACATCATACCCTTAATCGACTAACATACCTACCTCAACTATTCCAAATTCCATTCGCATACTCTCCCTGAAGATTACACTCAAACCACACAATGGTTTCCACCAACGGAGTTACAGACACCAATGGAGTCACCGCAGGACTTTTCGGACCTGAGCTTGTCTCCCCCGACGTTGCCAAATCCCTCCCCGAATCATATACTCTCCGCGCCCTTCAGAAGTCGGATTATGCTCGCGGATTTTTAGACGTTTTACGGGTTCTGACTGTTGTTGGGGATATCACAGAAGAGCAATGGAATGAGAGGTACGATTGGTATAACAATCAAGGAAAAGGTGGCTACTACCTCCTAGTCATTGAAGATCAGGGAAAGGTTGTTGCTACGGGCGCTTTGATTGTGGAAAGGAAATTGTGAGTACTAGTTTATGGAGGCCAGTGCCGAGAAGGAATGAATACTGACTCAATGAAAAGCATCCATAATCTCGGTCTCGTAGGTCACATCGAAGACATTGCCGTAGCGAAAGACCAACAAGGAAAAAAACTCGGATTGAAGATGATTCAAGCATTGGATTTCATCGCGGAGAAGATCGGTTGTTATAAGAGCATATTAGACTGCAGTGAGGCTAACGAGGGATTTTATGTAAAGTGTGGGTTCAAGAGGGCTGGTTTGGAAATGGCTCATTATTATGATCACTAAAACAAGCACCGAGATAACAAGTTTGGATCTCTAGACATGGCGAATTGGTTGGATTTTGATTTGGAATTGAGCATAGAGCGAGGGTTATAAATGGAAGACAAAAGGATACCATGTACAGATTTGTTTTGATTGGGAATGGATTATTTAGTCCCGGAAAATTTAAAGCAATGAATATTAGATTAGATTTATTGTGATTTGTTTCCTCACCCTTTTTTAATACATTTGCGATTTTCTGATGCTTCAAACCCATTGAGGTTTTTTGACTGTTTTTTTCCTCCTAGTAGATCCAAGACCAGTCCTCAATCCAATTGGACTAGACTTCATAACGATTCGAGGTTCCTTCTTGATTGGCTTTCTTGCAACACCAGCAGGACTCATAAGTCCCAAAGCGGAGTCTCTAAATTTCGTCTCTGGATCAATCTTCCTCGAAGGAAGTGAGATGACGGTCGGTTTGATCACGTCTTTCCTGTAGATTTTGATGGGCACAGAAACCCCGGATCCAATAACCACCCCTGACCGTTCATCAGACACATAGCTGTCAGAGTTTACAGACATTCCTCTCACTCTCCATCCCAAAACATCCTCCTCAACTTCGTCCAATAATCCACCCAAGCTTATACGTCCCTTGAAAGCATCATCTAGCCCTATCCTAATACTCTCTTTCCCATCCCCTAAGGATAAGCTACCATGGTTTCCTCCCCATACATTTGTTGCGTTATTTTCAGACTCCCAGTATCCCTTTCCTGCTTTGCTTCCGCCATTAATTTTCAAAGGCGGAAGGTCAGCGACCCACCCATCTAGCTCTGCCATTTCTAATTCTTCCACATATTCTTCCACAATATCAGCCAACTCAATCATCCCCTCGACTTCCTCTTCCATGATCAATACCATTTCTGTCAACCCGCCGAGTACATCCCCTTCCAAACCATCTAATTCCTCCCCACACATCATCTTCTCCCCAGTAATTGTGTCCATTACAGAAGCTACTTCTTGAAGTAAAGATGCGAGTTTATGAGCGGTTGTTTGATGAATGGGTGGTGTCGTCGGCATTCGCGAGTAAGGCTGAAGTTGTGGAAACATTTCGGATTGATATGTAGATTCCATCGGAGCTTGCGTCATGACATTTGGATGTCTCTTCGTTGCTACCACCCCGTCATTACGCTGAACTGTATAATTTGGCATCGATATTGGCGCTATTTAACAATCTGAAAGGTGATGAAGATTTGAGACTTCTAATTGCTGTTGCGATATCACTTGAGATCTCTCAAAGTAAATGAATATTGGTGAACGAAACAGGACTTGAATCTCCAAGATATGTTTTATTGCTTTGATCCTCGATTGTTCGACAGGGTGTCATAAGTATTTGAATTCTGCGTTAGATATTTACCACATTCCAAGACGGGGCAAAGTAAATCATAAAAATGCTGTTGGCCTGGAAATTTTACAGCCATCCGAGATATTTTACTGCATCCCACATCATCGGCCAGGAATCGCATGATGATATTGAGATCTTTAAAATATGCTACTCATGCTGCGAATCCTTTTTATCTGATTGTGGATAATTATCATGGGAATTAACAGATGTTGATCAGGGATCGTAGGAAAAAAGGGGGACAAGTATAGCGAATCATAGCCGGTTCCCGCACGAGTAATTCATGCAAAAGGTAAACGCATTGATGAATCTCAAGTTGAAAGAAAAATGAGGAATGTTTACCTAGGTAATTTTTCAAATACCGAGAGATGGGGTGATTCCATAACTCATTGCAGGTAAGGGATGAATGGAAATCCATGAGGGAAATTAGGATATCAGAATGGGCCCGGCAAAGTAGATAACAGATCTGTATGGTAAATTACTTTGTTCAAGACAGTGAAAAATTATACAAAGTCAAACTTAAGAAGCTCTAACACGAAGCTTTAGAATCGCATTCGTATAGTCGAACCCCCCATTGAGGGTTTGGCTGCTTTATGTCGTTATTTTTGACGTCATGATTGAACAGGGCTGGAATTTGCAGTGGACAAAATTTATTCCAACCCAAGGAGACATTCAAACTTAGCGAAACATTCGAGTTTGATGATATAATTAAGCTCCATGAAATAATTTGCACCTGTTCAAACGCCCAAGCGATGTTGAATGTTCAACGCAGAGCGTACTCAACATCACTTCAGATATCTCTCAGACAACGTATGACAAGAACATGATTATCGGAGCAACCACTAGGCCTCACTGCACTTGCATTGGGAACCTGAGATGACCATAGGATCCTTGGTTGCTTGAAAAGCCAATCACAAGATCTTTCAACTCCCCGCCTCTCAACCTGGTAGCACCATATCACATCGTCTGATTAATAAAAGCCCAGATATTCAACGTCATGTTTCATTCGTTATATTCGTATCATTCCCAAGATATCTTTCACCTCAACGACCTTGGGATATCATATCTGCATCCATTTAGGTGGCGCTTGTAAACAATCGGGTTTGATGTGGGCGTATTTGGTTTTCCCCTGAAGCGCATTGAGATGTTCTTGTGGATTTCATTCCCTTTCACCCGAAATTTTCTTCTACCCTATTATCCTTTTCTCATTCTTCCTGTTGTACGAAAGGATTCGCGATTTCTTCGCTGCCATCAACGGGACTAATTCCAATGAGTAAGGTTCCTCTTGCAACCACTAAACCTAGTGATCTCCAGGCTTCGGTTCCTTCATCATCTGCGAAAAGACCAAGTCAGTTAATGGGTTTGGCAGAATACAAATATACTTTACCAGTCAGCTTCTCCTCTACATCATCCAATACCAGATTCATCAGAGCATCATAACCCTTCAATGTGCCCTTCACTAAAGAGGATTTATGTCAGTTACTTTCAAGTTTAACAATGCAACCGATAACGTACCATGTCTGCCACCATTAAACTTGACTGTGACCTGCTTATCCATGTACTTTCCCAGGTCCAAGATATTCTCCTTCTTTGGTTTCTCAAAATTTCCCCCGCCATGTCCACCCCTCTCCCCACCATGACCTCCTCTACCACCTCCCCTGCCACCTCTGTGTTCACCATGACCTCTACCACCTCCACGTCCGCCACCTCTGTGTTGACCTTGACCCCTTTCAGACATCCTGTCGCATGTATGAGAAAATGCGGTCTGTGATTTGTTGGGGAAATTATGTGAGGGTTATTGACGGTACCAAAGAATTCTAGAATCTAGAACTTTTGTGATGGAGAGCTACAGCAATTGAAGCAAGTTAGCCGCTAGAATAAAGCGACATAAGTGGCTGACATGGAAGGCTGTAAAGACGAGGCTGAGATCAGAAACTGTGGCTGTACATAAATACGGGCGGGCGGTGTCGACACAACGGAATTGATTACCATTCCAATTTTACACGAAGGATTAGATTAACCTGTTAGGAATCCTTCTACTTCACCAATACGATACTCACATAGTATCTACGAAAGTGCGGCGTTTTAATTATTCTCAAAATTGACAGGAAACTAAAAATCCTGCGCTCGGTCATCCTAGGAATCATGTTAAAGTCGAGTGTCTCGAGAGTGTCTGATTCTAGGGAGCACTGGTGGAGGTTTCTTGAAAGTCACACTCCAGTCAAACCAGTACCACACCGGCAACTGTCTCTATTTTACGAGACTGTGAGTGCACATCCTTAGGTAGGTACGATTTATTAATATCTTCGCATTCTTCACTATCATGTATGGTTGCTATCACAACTTCATTCCCAAGGTCACTACGCATTATCACATGTCAAATGATCTTGAAGTTCCATGGTCAACACCCCGCCACGATTCAACGATCTTCATTCTACATCATGGGAGATAATATGTACCATAATTATTCAGTCCTATCAGGTACGACGACCTCAATTTCATTTACTTCGATCATGAATTTGTAGGATCGATGTCGAGGAAGTCTTAATTCCCGAGACCTAATCGAAAACCTCAATTTGCCACGCCTAGTATAATTGATGAGTTTGAAAGAATTAGAGCCTCAAGCTCTAGAGGCTCTGGATGAAGGACCGCCATATGAGGCAGAGGAGATAGAGGGAACAGAGGACAATGCAGTGATGTACCATGAATGTCTGCCGCAGATAATTCGAGAATCGACGCTTCTTCCATCGCCTATTGCCACTGCTGTTAGCCTGGTGACGAGATCATCTTCTCTTTATATTCGACTTGGCACATTCATAGGGGGACTTGCTATTGATGGTGCACGAGTAACAACACTCACCGGGTTAGAAGTCAGTAGAGCTATTATCGAGGGAATACTACATCGTGCTGGAAAGGACGTTGCAAATCGAAGCACTGGGGAATTAGGAAAGTTGGAAGCAGAAGGGCTACTGGAACGAAGTATTGCGAATCTACACGCCACCATTACAGGAATATCATTCGCTGCTTCTACTAGTTTTCATTTTTCTTCTGTAGCTTTGTCTTCTGCTACAGACATTTCACAACAGCTACTTGGTACACTGGATTCGATTCTTGGATCGACTGATTCTTCGAGAGCAATAGCAAGCATCATTACATTAATTCGCCGAGAGTTTCAGAACCCCGCCACAGGAGTGGAAGGAGAAAAGGTTAGTGTAGGCGATCTTTTGCTGGGTATTTGTGGGTTGGCATTATTACAAAGATGGTGTCGCAAATTGACTGACCTGGAATGTCGAGAGAACAAACACGAGGAGATTCTTTGGGATGTGGTTGTACTTGATGATGGCCGGCGAGCGGATGTGGTCGGTATGATATCAGGAGATTCCTCCGACCTTCAAGGAGATCCCACCAAATTGTCTTTCATGAATACAAGAGGCGGTGAATTGTTAGAGACGATTGAACGAGAGGAGCCAAGTCAAGCTGATGTTGGCGAGGACAAGGTGGAGAGTGTATTGAGACAGAGGCTAATCAAGTCACTGCCTTCTGATGCCTCTGTTTCCATCACGACCTCTACCATCACAACAACGATAAAAACAATCACCGTCGAAGTTTCAGGGTTCGAGCCACCTGTTTTTTTGCCACCTCCCGGTGTGGAGATATTGGAAGAACATGCTATTCGTCTTGAAAATGCGGACCTAATCACAGGGGGCAAACAACCAGAAATTACACCAGTACCGAGATATAGAGTCGTGTATGGAATAGTAGGAAATAGATTGCGGAATACGAGTATCGCAGAACAAGAATTACTCCAAGCTATTGAGAAGAACGTAGAAAGCGATAATATTTCGGGCGATGATCAGGACAGTGACGCTCCTAGCAGCGTCGCCTATTCAAACATACCCAAAGCGACTTGTATCGACGATGGTTTGCCTGTACAAGACGAATACTCGCCTGTCAATCTCCCCCGGAGAACTACTGGTAGCAAATCAAAAATACCCAGGCTTTCATTTCCTGGTGTTTTGGATGAGAAATGTATAGTAAGTACGGAAATGTCTTCTTTGGTTTCCGACAACTTGGCAAATCAGAAGAGATCAAGAAAGCCTATCAGCCCAACTTCACCAGATGATAGTTCTAAACAGATTTTCCTAAAGTCGATTTCGAATAATCAAATGTCTAAAAAGTCGAAGACCGATGAAATAACGGTGGAAGGACAAGATAAGAAAACTTCTTTTCGCCAGGCCTTGAAGGGAAGATCTAGTACCAAGTTATCCAATCTGTTCAACAAAGATGGAAGTAAAGAAGACAGCAAACCCAAACTTCCACCTCGGCCTCGTCCAACATGGGGAGACCCCACTCATACATCAAAAATTAGATCTACCTCAGCCCATCTATCAATTCCACAGAAGCGGCCAAGAAATACCGCAGGCTCCTCAACACCTTTACGTGGAAATCAGATCCCATTGACGTCGGAAAATCTTGATAAGATTCAGCCTGATTTACCACCCACTCCCTCCAGAACCAGTTATTACACGGTCCACGAACAACGAAAAGACTCAATGGTTTCTCAAACTGACACTTATTCAATCCATTCTTTTGACCAAGGCCGTCCTCATTCCCCAGCAACACCAAGAAATCGTTACATGGGCCAGAATAATGCTATGAAGTTACGATCGGAGAGGGGTATGACCCTCGAAAGTTCACTTTCAACACCCAAAAGCCATCGACGCACGCATTCAAATGAAGAAAGCATATTTACATTGAATACAAACAATTCAGAAATTTGTCTCATCCCAAATTTTGGAAGAGAAAATGGCATATTTGAAGGTAGGGAAGCATTAGATTCCCTGATGCGGACTGGTAAGATCGATGGCACTTTTCCAAAGCGCCACATCATACAGAACATTACCCGTTTCGTCAAGTTTGCGTCTGCCTCTTACGGCTCCAATTTTCTTCGAGTAATGGGGATCTCAGATCCTAGCACAAGACAAGAGCTTAATGCTATACATCATCTTGAACATCAATCATTTTCGTCTCATACACAACTGCCTGCCGACACTATTCTTCTTTCTTCATTTGTTGATCCTCAAGGTGGAACTGATTCTAGTGGACTCACAAATACTGGTGTTCCAATGGTTCACTATATATCACTGGATCATCAATCACAAGCTATAGTTCTCACATGTCGTGGTACTCTAGGATTTGAAGATGTTCTCGCAGATATGACTTGTGATTATGATGAATTGGTTTGGCGTGGTAAAGCTTACAAAGTCCATAAGGGGATTCATGCATCTGCCCGTAGACTTCTTCATGGCGGTGGAGGCCGTGTTATGGCCACAATAAAAGCAGCACTTGAGGAGTTTCCAGATTATGGTCTGGTTATGTGTGGGCATTCATTAGGTGGTGGTGTAAGTACTTTGTTGGCTATAATGGTTTCCGAACCTGCTGGCTACGGCACATCATTCGTTACATCTTATCATCCCGAGCATTCATCCACATCTCTTGACGCTACTGATAATTCTTCTCAAACACTACACCTCCCACCGGGTCGTCCAATCCATGTTTATGCTTATGGTCCCCCTGCTACGGTTTCTCCATCTCTAAGATCTGCAACTAGAGGTCTCATCACAACAGTCGTCAATGGTAATGATCTTGTCCCTCATCTTTCCCTCGGTTTACTTCACGACCTTCAAGCAGTTGCTCTTGCATTCAAGAACGACAACTCGGGTGCGAAAGGTGAGGTGAAGAGAAGAGTATGGACGGGAATGAGCAATTCATTTACTGAAAGATGGTATGGGCGATCTGGACATGGAACTGATGAAGAGGAGGAAGATAAGTGGGCATATGCTGCACTCAAGGCGCTCCGAGCTTGCATGTTGAGCAATAAATTGGTACCACCTGGAGAGGTTTTTGTAGTTGAGAGCATGGCTGTCTTGAAACGAAGTGCTTTCACAAGGAACAGTGATATGAGCGATGGAAAAAATGATAGAGGAGAAGATGGATTGGGTAAACCAGCAACTAGAAGTGTATTAAAGTACGTGAGGGATGTAGAGAAGAGGTTTGGTGAAGTCAGATTTGGGGGAAGTATGCTGTTGGACCATAGTCCAGGAAGGTATGAAAGCAGCTTGAGGGCATTGGGAAAAGGTGTCTTGGGTGATTCATGAATCCTTCGCCACAGGGTATCATTATTTTCTAACATACAAAGTAATATTTGACAATTGAACCTTTACTGAGGCTGCAGAAACATCATATCAAATCATCAGGAATTTTGCACAGAAAGATAAGCTGTTCAGAGGATGCCTATGTGCATCATGCATAGTTGCCTCCGATGTGTTCATTCATCTCAATAATTCCATTTAGAAATTATTAGCATGCTCAAAACTACGAGCGACTTTTTCCATAGGAATGCTTTAAATTGCCAACCTTCCATACCACACAGCATTCCCGATCCACGTTGTATTCAACCACATTCTATGCTTTCATTCCAGCACGTTTTAACATCACTGTTGTTCTAGGATTATTGTTTCCTTTTAATTTACTCTATGCTTGTTGACTGAGTAACTTCTACCAAATTCAAAAAATCTTCTAGCTAAGATGGCTATGTTCATCCTTCTCCTTGTCATCTCGGCATCTTTCGCTGCTGCAACACGAAAGTCATTACCTGTAGTTGATTTGGGATATTCTGTCAATCAAGCTACTATTGAAGTATGTTGCTGACCTCTTAATCGTGTCCTTCTCAAAGCTAACATTTCCACGACAACTAGCCATGGAAGATACTATAACTTTTCAAATATTCGGTATGGAGAAGCTCCTGTTGGGCCACTACGATTTTCCAGACCAATCCCTCCGCGAACTGCCAATCGAACTATAAATACCGGTCAAGAAGCAAGATCATGCTACCGAGCACATCCTTATTGGTTAAAGACAGCACGGCAGTATATTAATAAGGTCCCTCTAGATGAGATAAAGCACGAATGGTTCGATATAAACAATCCGCCTTTACATGATGCCAGTCAATCCGAAGACTGTTTATTTTTAGACGTGATGGTACCTACTACGATTTTCGATAAAAGTTCAAAGATTGAGACATGCGATGATGAACCAAGTGCCCCTGTTCTAGTTTGGATTGATGGTGGCGGCTTTACTGGTGGATACAAGCATGAAACTAATCCTGCAGGATTAATCGAGAATTCAATGGTATTAAAGGAAGAGTTCGTCTATGTTTCCATAAACTACAGACTTGGTCTTTATGTTAGTATAATCATGATCATTCTTACATAAACATGCTAATTTTATAGGGCTTCTTAGGTGGACCACTTTTGAAAGCCGATGGAGATGCAAATGCAGGTCTGCTTGATCAACGACTAGCTTTAGAATGGGTCCAGGAGTTTATTTACTTATTTGGAGGCGACAAGAACCGAGTTACTGTCATGGGTGAATCGGCCGGTGGTGGATCTATACTACATCAAATAACTGCATATGGTGGAATGAGAGGTCCCCCACCATTTCAACAAGCTATCCTACAAAGTCCGGGGTTCCAGCCAAATCCAGGAAGTTATCAACAAGAAAGAATCTCACATCACGTCTTGAACGACGCAAGTAGCTTTTCAAATAGATCGATTACAACTATTGATGATTTACGAACAGTGGATACTAGGACATTGGCTAAAGTCAATGATTTTATCGTTGCAAATTCTCCTTATGGCCTTTATACATTCGGTCCAACTGTCGATGGAACCTTTGTACCAGCACTCCCTGGTCAAGTTCTAGCGGATAAGAATTTTCAAACTTCTCTGGCATTAATGATAGGAGGAAATGATCAAGAAGGTGTTTTGTTCACTTCACCATATATTTTGAACCAAGCAGATTATGTTGCCAATCTTAAATGGTTGTTTCCAAGGGCTCCCGAATTGTTAATTTATGACATTTTCGCCCTTTATCCCGACCAATTCGATGGGAAATATGGTTATACGAGTGAAATGATGCGAGCGGCTGTTACCAGTGCAGAGTCCTGCTTTGCATGCAATACGAGATACCTGAATGCTAAAGTCGGAAACAAGTCATACGTTTATTCATTTGATGTACCTCCAGCATTACATGCAGATGATGTTGCATATACATTCTATAATGGTCCGGGGAGTGTTACATGGGATGGGAAACCTGTATTTGGAGGTGCGGCACTTTCTCTTCAAGATTACATTGTGAATTTTGTGACTACTGGTACTCCGAATGGAAGAAGGGTTCCTGATTTTCCTCAATATGGAAGCGAATCGAATGTTTTGAGTATTAACTCATCGTTTTTGGGAACTATCTCTGTTGATCCTTTAGTAAGGGGGCAATGTGAATGGTGGCAGAAAGCGCTTTACTATTGATTACATTTGTCATTTTTCTTCATGTATGACGCGCAACAGGAACCCTGAATCGCGAGACTTTCAGATTCAAAGCAGTTCATGTCTTAATGAGAATGATATAGTATGAAATGAAAGCTTGAGTTATATCGAAATATTAGTTGATTATGTATTAGTAGACTTAAATTTTAGCGTTTAATCGTTTCACCTTGTTATTCTTTAACTTCATTTTAATTCTTTAGTATAATCTCTTTTCATTCTTCGTCATCTATAAAACCTGATTATTATAGATTTATAAATTTGATGTTTCAGTTATATAGTACTAGATAGAAAAAGGGCCGAAGCAGAAAAACGTACTAAAAATAGTCATTATTCAAGCTTTTTATTTCTGTATATTTGAAATCTTTTCGAAAATCAGTCTTTATTTAAAAAATTTATAATTTATTGAATCTTTTTGATTGATATTATATAAGAATATATAGACCTTCTTTTTATAATCATATATAAAATTCGAAAATAAGAAAGTTTCAATCAGTAAATAATCATTACTACAAATTGATTATAGAGATAATTTCTATTAAACTTAATCATTATATAATATAAATTAAATATTAAGTATTATTTCTCATTTATATATATTAAAGTGTTTAGTATTAAAAGACCTAAGTCTCGTGGAATAATTTACTAAATATTAAATATTTCTAAATCTAGAGATTAAATAAAGATATGAAATTAATAAATTATAATAATGCTATCTATTTATTAATATAAGAAGGGCCTTGATGGATTATATCGAACATACTTTTAATAGAAGATCTTTCTTTTTTAGGTATAATAGTCTACTTAACTGTACTTGATTATTATTAAGATACTTTCAATAGTTGAATCTGACTAAACCAGCGCCGTTTTTGTTATGACCAGTCTTTTATAGGAGTATAACTACATAGTAACTATTGAAAACTTATAGTCAATGGCGAGGCACGAGGCAACATTCGGAGTATTATCAATAAGTGAAGAGGGGTATGGGAAAAGTCATAAGTTTTGAATTTCTGAATTTTATAAGACTACGACCTGCGTGAAACCCGAAAGTGCCAGCTTTAAATATATGCAATTCCACTCAACCTAACTTCCCCAAAAGACCATACCCAGTATGCGGACGTTTGCGATATGAAAAGAATCCAGTACCAAGACCACACGAGATTCCTTGATTATCAAGCGTTAGCAAGGATGAAATGATTGAGCCATCTCCGGTGTTCAATCATTTTGAGTTACTCTGCATTCTTCTTCTTTTTTCTTGCGTGAGATTTCTCGTTTCTCTTCTCGTTCCTTCTGCAACTTCGCTTCCTCAATCTCCTTAATTTTGGCCCAGTTTTGGAAAGCATCTTTGTTCTGCGTACAACATATCACAACTTCTCGTGTAGCTAGAACATCCTCCAAGCAGTCGTGAATGGCACCTTTGTTCTTTCTAATCTCCAATTTGAGAAGTTCAGAGCACATTGTTGACAACCCCCAAGTTCGATTGAAGCCAACTTCTTTTTTTGCAAGAATCGCGGAGTCCACAACTCGGGGGTGTATCATTCTCAGTGCATCCAGGTCGTTTTCCAAAGCATGACCGATGAGGATTGTGTTAGCATCTATAAGCTCCCACAACTTGGATCGGGCCTCTTCCCAACCATCCAGTGCCTGACCTCGTGAGACAGCTTCATTGAGAGTGTGTATACTTATGCCATGGATGGATGATCTCATATCATTAATGCGCTCTTTCGGACATATGAGATGATTAAGAATCACTGCACCTGAAACGAAGTCGACTGCGCAGAGCAGGATCGGTTCACCACCACCACCACCACCGGCTACTCCTGCCATTTCACAATCGATGACAACCGCCAGATGTTTGGGTTCATTAGAAGCGGCTGGAGTCTGTTGAAAGTCCTGGTGTCTGAATGATCTCAAGGGAAATTGAAAATCATGTATTGGCAAAGTCTGGCAACCGTGGGAGTCTGGTTCGGTTCCGTTGATCCTGCAGCATTTGTAAGGCTTTTTGACATTCTGCAGAGTTTGAATTATCAGTATAATCCTGGCAGAAATTTTCGTCACATCTCAAAGAATAAATACGTACCCACTTGTTACGCTTGTATGGATGAAAGGTGCATGATTTTTCGTAATCAACTTTTAGTTCTCGAACTATAATCAAGTCAGTTTAAATTTTCAAAACTAAAATCAAGCACGGAAAACTTGCCGTTACAACGCTTGCATTTTCGAGAATCGACATAGTCCGACTTATTATATGGTTGTGTAATGTAATTATTGGCCTGGAGATCTTCCCGCGAATGGCAATGAGAAGATAATGTGTCTAGCACCATCCGAGACTCAGATTCATGAAACGTTGACCAGAGTGATTCTACGACTGGTACAATCATGGCGACAGTAGAACTAGGAATTTGGGTTGGAGTGTGAGTGGAGATAACTGGGGTCGGAAGCTGATAATATCCGTCTGGAACTGTATGATTCAAATATAAAGAAGCGCCATTATTGTGACCATAATTTATTTGGATAGATTGAGAAGGAGTTGCCTGTTGATATGGCGTTTGTCCAGATTTTGCATGGTTGAATCCGACTGGATGGAAAACATTGATTTTGCCTTGAATAGAATTCTTGTGAACCGATGAGTTATCGACATGTTGTTCTAAACTTCTTTGATCTTTAAAAGACCTTTGACAGAGGCTGCAGAAGGCCGACATAGTGTAATGTTGAAATTGATCAATTCAATTGTCTTTTTGGATCGATTGATTTGAGGTGGTTGGCAGTGAGTAAGATAGGTAGGTAGGTAGTCATAAAAAGAATTCACCCGCTTCCTTCCTGCCTGAGTAGGCAACACAAAAATCTGGGGTAGTACTGAAATAGTACTGGGGTGGTGAATCTTGAAACAATACAATATTCAAGTTTGATTGGTAGCATTGTTGTTACACCACGTCTTTATATTGTCCTCCAAACAGAAAGAAGTCAACAACTGTCGACATTAGGTATCTAGCCTAGCTACCGTATAGGGAATGGGGGTCATATATGGTGGTTGCAACACCCCCTGCAATATAGAATCTAGCCTACAACGGATGCAAGTTTTAAATCGGATGCGCAATGGATGTAAAGTCGATTCAGCTTAGATTGATTCAACTAGTATAAAAGAATTCAGATTTAAATAAGAATGCTGAAATAAATGAAAAGTGGTTGAAGAAGATAACAGTTACAGGGATTAATCTGGTGTGCCTTGGATTTAAGGCTTTATACAGTTATATCTGAACCTCTCACATGCTTCCTCCTCCTCCTAGCCAATTGCCGCGCGATATTGATGGGGCAATGCATAAAAGTTATGCTAAGCTAGCTGGCGCTTACTCGCTATCGCTATAAAGCTTCAGAATCAACACAATTCAGATTTTTGAATTCAGAATAATTCGAATTAGCCAAAGTTCACTCTGGTGGCGTCACACGAGGTACAGGGGGGTGTGATGATTGATACGCAGATGATGATTGATTGAACTCCCTGTAGAATGGGCGTATTCTGAATAGCTTCAATTCCATATATTAGTCAGCATTTAGAGTTTCAAGAATCGCATCCGTTCCACATCCGTAGAATCCATTGCATCCGTAAAATCCATTGTATCCGTTGCAGCATTTCATCCACTGCTTGTGAGCTTTTTATTGAATCAGTTGTAGCCATTTAATCCTATACACATCGGCTGCACAACTAGTGTATAACGGACCTAAAAAGACCCCATTTCCTTCTAGGTAGGTATATGCTACCACAATCATTGACGGATCTCGTCCAAAGAGTTATGGTAATAACATCCCAACTTTTCGACACACGAAATCAAACAGAAAGAAACTTGGAGGCATGAAAAAGAGTGCTACTTGCCTCTGTTGTGTCGATTGGCGATGAGCTCAAGTGACTACCATACTAGTACTTCAAACGACTATTATAATTTCATTTGATCGAAGTTATAAAATTGGAATTCTTCAATGCCATATCTAATCCGCATATTCTCCATTAGTTAAAACCGCCTCTCAACAAGCTTGAGATCTTCCTAAGAGCTGTTCAGAAATCATAAACGCGATCAGAATACTTCTTCGATCCTGATTAACATTGCGTAAGTTGATGCGCCTCGAGTTCTCCAACAAACATCGAGGAGCGTTTGCCATAACCCCACAGCAGTCAATCGAGGTGCGAGTTCTCATCTATTTATATCGAAAATTTGTCTAAATCTGCTTTCTCTTCTACTTTAGTAAAATTATAATTTACTCGTCGACGTTCTTGTAGTTGAGGGTGAGTCATTGATTCCAGTCCTTAGTATCGATTCAGGAATGTTATGAAGATTCGCAATACTGTAATGACTCATCTTTGTGAATATAGGAAAAGCTCCGATAGATGCAATGATCCTTCCAATGAAAAATCATCCACGGCAATTGTTGAATAATCGCGTGTTGAATTGAAAGAGACAATCAAATGACCAAAAAGTACGTAGAGTCATGAAAACTACGTTTTTTCTTCCATACAACACCCACCGTCGTAGGTCAAAGTGGCTATTATACTGTTATATGCACCATTAACTTCACGTCAGACACAGTAGAACGTTATACTAATGTCAACGCTTGAACCATTTAAGCATAACCACTGCGGTAGGCTGTCTTTACCTGATCCAACCCATACTTGGCCATCCACTCCGCAGCTTTATAATACCCCTGAATCAAATGGCCTATCGGACCAAATTCAGCCCCAAAATTACAAGTCACCTCTTGAGGCAAGATGTAACGATGGCCTCTCCAATCTCGAAAATAATACGGAGGAGCAAGAGGTGTCCGATCCCAATGATTCAAAAAGTCCCAAGCTCGGATCTGGTATCGCTCGTAATATTCATTGAGCAATGTGAGATAGCCCATGTCCCCTGCTCCCGTACTTGCAAATGTGAGGTGTTGGATAAGTGACCCAAGGTTGTCATCGGACGCCCAGTCTTGAGGAGATGAACATTGAGAGCCATAGGTGTGGCGGACATGTTCAACAATGCTCGTGAATCCCAGACTACAAATCACCTATTAGCTTGTTTTCTAGACATATGATGCAAAAAATTGAGACCTTACGTGCTCACCCCTCCGCCCATGGAGTATCCAGCAATAATTAATTTCTTTGGTACTATGTCATGATCCTGCATTGTAGTGACTGCGTCATCGAGAGCGGAGAATACAGCAGCTTTCATTCCGTTCCACATGTCCAAGTAGAAACTGTGGACTCTATTCCCATCAACATATACAGGATATGGAAGATCCCACCAGTTCGGACCCTTACCATCAGTCCATAGGTTTACCAGAATCTCATCATCTGTTGACCCTTCAAAGGCAATGGTGATTGTATCCTGGTCATTGACAAGAATAGCTTTGCGAGTTTGATTGATACCGGTGTGAATATCAATAATTTTTGAGGCGGAAATTGTATCGTAGTTGCGAAGATCGCTCTGTAGAGCAATGATATCTGGAATTTGAGAGGCTCTCCATAATATTAAGGCAGCATATTTGACGTCGTGCCAATCACTGGTTCCAGTATTGAGTTCTACCAGAGGCATATTTCATTAACTCAGAGGCCGTATTCGATTGATATCAACTGTCAAAAAACTGTCAGCAACAGACTCCGCATTGAATGCGATTTTTCACTGTCTATTGGAGATTATATGAGTTGTTTGTGGATATCTGATCACGTCGCAACTCACTGCTTATAATGTTTTGAGTCGTCTTTTGCGTCGAAAATACTTCGTGTGATAGGAGAATGTTTGTACTAATGACTCTAATTATGAATTCAAGAAATATTTATTAGGCAAGGTCACAAGGTATTGTGTCTGATTTGCATAAAGATGTATGTTGAGTACCCTCGGAGTCGGCGAGTGGGCTATCCCCTAGACTGTCAACAAAGGACACCTCGCTTATACAGGCATCTATTGACCAATCAGAACATCAGGAATTAGCGAATTCTCATTCCTATATTATGTTTTTTTAACGAAAATTATAAAGAGATTATTATTTTAATAAAAAGAAATAAATAATTTTTCAATTTCTATACAATCTTATATATACTTTTATCTTTTTGATAAATATCGAGATTTTGATTTGTTATATTTTCTAATTATGAATTATATAAGATTTATTTAGAAATTACTTATAAACTTATCTCATTTTAGGAGATAAAATATAACAATATTTTTGAAATCAGTCTATAGTTATTTTTATATGAGAAAAAGACCGAAATATATTTGAGATTTTGTTATTTTCCTAATATATTTCAGTTTTCAGATTCAATATAAAGGCTTTAAATTACAATATCACCTATTGAATTATTTATAACTATAAAGATATACGAACCACTTAAGATGTTCTAAGTCAGCAGTCTAGAGGATAACACGCGCATCTTCGGTCGACCCTAAGACACCTACTTGCTAGCCTTATGTTACAATTATCGTAGATAATATTGAGGTAGAAAGATTAATAAAGAGGCTTCATAATAGCTGAAAGTGATAAAATCATTAGATTCGGATTCACAAACTTCTATGGGTTCTGTATATCACAAGGCTACCTTTGCCTCCTCACCCCCATACCTAGATATCACAATTGAAGTCAAAAGATTGCCTGAAGCAGCAACCAAACACCCATCCACCAATCTCCATTCCTCAGCGCTGAGTTGTCCCTGGCGACTCAGGGCTCTCAGCTCTTCTAAAATCTCATTCTCGGTCCAGAGTTGGATAGCATAAGCCATTGACTTTGCTGCTGTGACATCATTGATACAATTGACCTGCATAGTAGTATGTACTAGATTAATCATCTCCTTCGCTCTTCCTTCAAGAAATTGCTTTGCTTCTTTGTCGTACGAAGCAATATCATTGGCAATAGAGATTTGATCACCAAGGTAGCCGAATAGTCGACGAAGTTTTGGACTATGTAGGTCAACCCTCAAATGGAGAGAGAATTTGGTGCATGCCCACGTGAATCTGATCAGAACGATTGTCAGAAAAACTAAGAAACTTGGAATGTTTGCTTTTACCTATTTGCAATGTCATCATAACGGTAATCAAGGTATTCCCGTACAGATGAAAATTCCTCAGGGTGCTCATGACGACAAAAATCAATGAGTTCTTGAAGTACCTCTGCACCTGCATTTCCTCCATCTTCCTCATCCCCGTCCAAGAATCCTTGTCTAATTTCATGCATTCGTCTCTGTAGTGGAGTGTCTGCTATAGACTTGGAGACGTTGCCTTGGATACGTCCAATGAAATCATCTCGCACCTGGCTGGTCTTCGAGCAATAAGCTTGATGACTTCAACATTATGCTTGGATGGCTACTTACAAATTCCGAGGATGCATTTTCCCACATGTCTAAGGATTGTGAGAGTAGGCCTAAAGAGCATAAGTGGAGACTAGGAAATATGGCTTACCATCAAATATGAAGATCAAAATAACGCTTTGAGCCAGAAGCTGGATTCGTTTCTCATCCGCATCAGCAAACATGTAAATGCTAAAGCGACTATATGTATCCAAAACGGGAGTTCGGAGCTGGTGTTTGGCAAGAGTTGCCATAGATTGTCCATTGGTTAGCATTGCATCCTTGCAGTGTTGATCCTGCGCAAATAACTCGAGTAACTCTGTCGTCGCCCTCTCGTTTGCTTCCCAGTGTTTGCTCTGGCGAAAATTTCCCAGCCCAGTGTGAACTGGCAGATGAGCAGCTCCAGGGTAGATGGAAATTCTATTGTTTCTGGTATCTCCCTGTATCTCGACTGATTGTAGTTGCAGCACGTCATTGAGAGTGACTTGTTGTGCCTGCAGCCACTTTGGCTTCTGAGGGAGATAATCGTAAATGTATTTTATTGGACAAATTATATCCGCGTCCTTTCCATTAGTGAAGTTATCGAAATCAACGGGGAGCTTCTCAAGTGATCCGTTGCCATTGGCCTTCATGATAAGATTCATGTTGAAGAGCCTTATTTGACAGATTCGAAGATTCCAAGGGGTTCCAGCCTTCAAGGTCTTTAAATGTGGGAAGTGCTTGCCAAAGCCATTAATAGTTCGTCAGCTAACTCAAGCTTACTTTTCGCCCGGTATCAGGGTGTTTCTGCAAGTTCCTGCAGGGTAGGAATGGCTAAGAGATTCATCAATACAATATGGAGCATGATGTTACAATCATGCAGCGACATGTGCGGCGTGAATAATCACTGCATGAGACTTTTGGGAAGGTGCTCCGACAGAGCACAAAGTGTGGAGCACGAATTTAAGGGCATTACCAGGGGGAAACCTGTCGGTGATGTGGAGCAAAAGTGACTCGTGCTTGAGTAAGTTACTTTGATTATGTCGAAAAAGCAGGGCTAGTTTGGTGTTTTCCATCACTCTGATCAGACGGCTGAGGAGTAATTTATCATTGCGGTGTTGACTACGATTTTTATTGGTATATCGAGCCTCCGGTATAAATTTATCAACTACCAAATACATCACTGAATCATGAATAACAAATTTGGACATCTGTCAAGTGACAGAACTGTTGAAAAATACGAGATTTACATCCGTCTAAGAGCAGAGAAATTTCCGCCTGTTACGATATGTCATCAAGCGGGTTGTGAGAAAATGCCAATTTAGGGATCTATATGCAACCTCCCGGCGTCGCGCTTCATGATCGATCATGCAACAGCACTTCCACAGAATTCATCGTCAAATTTAACTTTTTACAGTCTTTTGCCAAGGATCTTTACTCTGACCCCAAGACTATCTGGATATGGCTCTCCGATAAAACAATCCCGGACAGATTCAACGTCCCGTTCTCGCAAAGTATCATGTAGCTGTAGTTCATACCTTCTGAGCAATGTAGCTAACACTACGTATAACTCGGTATAGGCAAATCTTGAGAAGTTGCCAGAAGTCAGTCTCGATGAGGCTCGGCCAAAAGGGAAAATTGTAGCAGGAGCATACCTCATTCCCTGACACATCCGAGTACCCTTCCCAAAGGGCACAAAGTAACGTTCTGGGACGGGATCTTCCCCCAACCAGCGATTTGGATTAAAATTGTGTGGATTCTCATATATATTAGAATCAAGTAGGATATCATGAATCGTCATGCTCGTAGGCGTCTTATAATGAGTCAGCCAACCAGTTTCTCGATTACAAAACAAAAATGTACGACTTGCCATTACTGGTATCTTCCAATTCTTATAGGCCAGCTCAGTATGAGCCATTAATGGCATTCTTGATGTGATAATTGCAGATATTCGTAATGCCTCCTTGACGGTTGCAACCTAATTTGGTGAGTTGTAGCTCGAATGAAAGGATTGAATGACTATATAATACCAAGTAAGGAAGCTCTTCTAAAGCTTTTGCGGATGGTAAGATGGAGTAATCAGGCATTGCTATATCTATTTCATCCCGTAGTCGTCTCAAAACTTGAGGGTCAGACAGTGTATAAAACATGGTGATGCTCAGAGCGCGAGATGTGGTTTCGGCTGCTGCGGATATCACTACAACTGCTTCGTGAGCAAGGCGTTTTGCCGATTTCTCATGAACTGGTAGATTGCTATCTGATATGCATTGAAACAAGGCCATGATAGAAGGAGTTTCGTGAATTTTCGGCTTTTCTTGGCTCGCCTGTTGCTGGGATAAAAATCGCTCGGCAAAAGCTCGCATTTCCTATAGTATGGGACCATCATATCAGTCCTGAGAAGTGAATTGCTTTATCCAAGATATAACACTCACAGCATGATACTGCACTAGTCTGGATAGTTCAGGCATGAAGAATCTTAGAATGTCGATAGGAATGTAAAGAGCTACGGTCATCATCCAGGGAAACTGCTTCATCAGCGGTGTTATTCTGGCAACAGCCCTTATTGTTGCGCTCCAGTCGACTGCAAGTGTCTTGTTTTCTTGAAGATCTTTACTTTCCCCGAGCGCATATCTTGTGATTGTATCTGTGGTGAAGGCCAGGAAAGTAACGCGAAGGTCAATTATTTCTTTCGTATTCAAATACCGTTCAAATTGGTCTGAGAGAATTCGTACTTGGTCTAGTATTAGAGGTTGAGCATCGAATATTGCACGTGTAGAGAGTAAATGACTATTGGCAGCGCGACGTTTTCGATGGACATCATGCTCAACTGTGCCAAAAGCTGCGACGGGTGGTTAGATAAGATTGATTATCTCCAAATTCGACAACTACTCACTGCCCAGAGGTGCGCCAGCCATACTTGCAGCTGGCGGATATTTGTCCCGTTTGGTAGGATTTCCAGCGTACAGTGTGTCAAACCAGTCAGGGTCTTGTACGTGGAGCTCAAATGGATTTATTCTAACAATAGGTCCTAGTCAGTTAGCTTTTATCGATGTCGATATTGATTATGATTGAAGTCGGCAGCATTTCACTTACCATATATTTCATGCATTCGCTGTATTTCCCAGGCAAATTGCCCCCCATGGCCTTTCAGCAGGTCGAAGTAGAATTCATACCACTTCGTAAGAGCAGCGAGCTTAGGACCTGGAAATTTGGCCAAAGGGTGTAGAAACAGACGATAGACAGATAAGACGATGACATAGCAGACTACAGCCGATATTATGGCAGCTGTAGGCCCGATAATGCTCGTTTGCTGGAAAAGCATTGAAGTGTATGTGCAAAAGGAATTGACGGAACTAGAGGAAACAGATCTTCTCTTCGCCAACTTTGACGCTCTTGACACATTGCTCTGTGCTTACTGTGCTGTATAAAGCAGAAATGAGGATGCATCCAAAAGCAACATAATTACAGACATCCAGTCTGAAGTCAGTAATCTTTCTGCAACCTTCCTTATGTGACATATCCCCACCCTAGACCACTAGTTGATAATGGGTGCATCTCTACGAAGAAAGAGGTTCCTACGACGGGTACCATTTTCGATTTTCACCCTGTGCAGGGGTTTAAAAAACATATGTCAATATTGGGTTTGGCTTGTATGATCTAAGCAATCGATCACTCATGGGTGGAGGGGAAACAGCTTCCTATTGTATTGGTAGTATTCATACAATCCAATTGTATAGAGGCCTGTGTCGGAATCCCGACCAGATATTGATTGAGAAATCGTCAATCTGTCGCGAGGAAATGTGTGGATGCGGTCTAGGTCAAAAGGCTTAAAGCCGAGGCTCGCGTCGCCTTTGGATCAAATTCTATCCCATTTATTGCGGGGTTAGCAAAATGCAGGTCTTTTGGTTTGGTAAGCTAGGTAAGGACACCAGATGACCTGACCTTTTCGTTCAATAATCCATCCACTTTCTTTCCTAAATCGTATATCTTCATGAACCTTACGGATTACGTGCTTTTATCACGTTTCATAAGAGCTGATAATTAGTCTCCATACTTTGTCTATTTCCATTTGTGCTTATCATGTCATTGACCCTTACGAAGAATTATTCTGTGTGGGGCCTTGCGATAGTGCTAGTGCACAAGAAGTATCTCCTGATTAGCTCCTGCGTTTTCCTTTACAATTCATTTCAATAGGTAGCTTATATCAACTCAATCTTTAAACAATCCATATCAATTCGAAACATTAATCGATAACATCGTTAGACAGCGGCACTCAGTTGTGGTTGAAAATAATTTATGGAATTTTATTGCCTATCTAATACAATCTACAGAGTAAGCATATTCGGATGAATAATACTAGGCCTGGCACCACTGGCAAGCATACAAAAATACGAATGTTACATTGTATCACGAAGTCGATGACATAACTCAAAGTGGAGTCGCCTTGGCCGTATCTAATTGGCCCTCAATGGTCTTCCGCTGCATCCTAGGAACAAATGATATGCCGGACTTGCCGTTCTATCACACTCCTGTTGCACCATCGCTACCCCTACGAGGTGGTAGCGGGAGGGGGAGGGGGGCGCAATCGGACAAACTGTCTCCACCTGTACTCCGCTGTGGATCTGAGGTATGTAAAAGAATTGACTTGATCATACTCTGCCTCCATGCTGCTCAAGGCTCCCAAGTGCTATCCATGTATCGTTGAAACGAATGCTGACCGATTTTCTTTTCCGTACTATTCACAGTGGATCTCCAACTGATTTGAAGATTGATAATTGAGATTGATAGCTATGACTCGAGAGTCTATAGGCAGTGGAAAGCTTCTATCAGTAATTTGACGGCAAAGTCTCAAGTCGTTCTGGTAATATCGTGGTGAATGCAAATTGAAGAGGATTCGAAACAAAATTGATTCCAGGACCATATTTGACGCCGCTTATGGGCCTGGATAATATACTTGTATGAAAGTAACGTAGATTCGCAAAAGCCAAAAAGTGGTCTGATTTGACTCAAAGGAAGCACCACCTGGTTTAATGACCCTTCCTCATTCCCTGTGAAATGAACTCTCATACAAATTATGTACGAAGTATAAACGATGCTTCCTGTCCAATGTACCTGGGACGTCGCATGCCTAGGTAGGATCTGTCCTAGCTTTCTTCAATCACATGTGCAGTCGCTTCTGAATGTCAATATCGGAGAAAATGAGTGGCTACAATGATGACAGCTTTCTTCAAAGGGTTCACTTAGGAGTTAACAGCCCTGCAGATGAGGAACAGAATCACAGTTCCTCCGAGTAACCTACCATATTGGGGGTGGTAATCTTTTTTTACATCAGAAGCGATAGGTATATTTCAGCATGTAAGATACAGGAGATCTAAGGGTCTGGTATATGTACAGAGCGGGTAGCCAGAGTGAGTGCGGTATAACAACCCACTATTCAGAGACCCAATTGATCGGTATCCTGCCAGGAAAGATGATTCTGGACTCGCAGCATTATCGTGTGCTCAAACCGCAAATGAACTTCGAAGCTAGGCAAGAGTCGCCAAACTCCCACCGTGGGCTCAACGACCGTGGAGCACAGGTCATTGTCATTGTAGCAGTTTTCTGGACAATCGCAACGATATCTGTTGTGCTGCGACTTCATGCTCGTCGCATGAAAAGAATCGCATTCATGATCGAAGACTGGCTGGTGGTAGGAGCGTTAGTAAGTGTCCCCCACAGAGAATTTCAAAAGGAAATTGACTAACTAGCGGCAGATAATATTTTATGGGTTTGGGAGTGGAGACATAATGCTGGTCGTTTTTGGGGGTTCTGGATGGCATGTGGATCAATTGAATCCCGCACAGCTGAAGACCGCCCAAAAGGTATCAATCATCCTCACACTGGATCAATTAAAATTGCAAGAGCAAGCTGACATCTATCATCAGGTCTTGCTTGCAAATCAGATGCTGTACGGTGTCGGGCTTGGATTAATCAAATGCAGTATCACCATCATGTTAATCAGGATATTTGCGGTCCCGAAATTCAGACTCGCAGGATACTTTGTCTTGGCAATGTGCATTTCATGGACTGTAATGACAATCCTGATAGCTTTCCTTATCTGCCGTCCATTGGGCTATAATTGGAATCTTCAACCTACAGCTGGGCATTGTGGCAACACGATATCTGCCTATACAGCCGTTGGTATTGTAGATATCATCACGGATTTGATGATTCTCTCACTTCCCCAACCTATGATTTGGAGGCTACAAATGCCAACGGCAAACAAAATAGCACTTGCAGCATTGATGTGTTTTGGTTTGTTGTAAGTCTTCATTCATTGCGATCCGAATCACGAGTTAACTTTGAGTAGTACTGTCGCTATGAGCGTTGCACGAGTGGTAACAATTCTCAATACTGATTTCTCTGATTTTACTTACAACCTCTACAATTATATCTGGCCCGTGATAGAGTTCGGTGTTGCTATCTTTGTTTGCTGTGGTCCCTTGTTGCGTCCTATATTGACCCCTATTATTGGGGCTCTTGCCTCGATCAGCACTCGACTGGGGTCAAAGCAGGATTCAAGAAGACAGAGTTCGACGACCAAAAGAGGAGGCCACCGAGGATTCAGTCATTTGGATGAAGATGGTTTGCCCCTTCAGCCGATGGCGAAAGGAACGCACACCAACACTATCAGCGCCACCAACGACGCGCGGAACAACAGAACAAGCACTTCCGGCAACGCTATATCTTCTGATAACAAGGCCATTGTGGTAGAGACTGCTTGGGATTGTGCATAATCTCCAACATTTCTCTCATTTGGAATCAGGGATGCACTGCCAATTTGATTATCATACTGAATCGATAGGCTAGGGTCTAGGGACTGGCTAGGATAACAGAGTGAGCACTAGCACGTTGTGGGAACGAGTATAAGATAATTTTGTGAAGATATTGGGAAGATGCATAACTAGCAAGCTGAAAGGGGCATTTGGCACCTTGCTAGTTTCTAGACTTTAATGTAAGACTAATTTTGCAACGATAAGGATTCTTCCTCCAGGAGTAACGATTCGATGTTTCTTTGCGTTGATTGCAGGGATAGCAAATCTATACCTACTGCGGAAGGTGTTTTGGGATCCGCACCAACCATTTAACAACCCCACCATCTCTCCGGAATATCGATCGGCTTGCAGGGCTGAATGGGATGAATCAGCCCATAATTCTGATGTATATAATATGAAAGTGGGGTTTCATCACGGACTTTGGAATGCTAATTATATCATCCTATCGTCAAAACTGGGGAACCAAAAGTTGGCCTCTAGTTTTCTTGCTTCTCCACGAGTTGGCAACAAAAAAGTGGGCGAAACTCTTGCGAGAACAATCCACTTTGCTAATGATACCAATCATATAAATCGCTCAAGCAACTCGTAGTTCGGCGTTAGAAAAACCAGTGTCTGGCCAACGTCGATTTTCCGAATTTTAAAATTGCTTGTATGCAAACTAAACAATTTCGAATACGAATACAATAGAGCTGTCAGCAAACGGAAGACCTGAAAATGCCGCGGAATTGAACACCCCTGAGTCTCATGCACTGATGCTGATTGCAGTTTGCTTCCCTAGCTTATCACACTTAATAGGGATCTTGCCCGCCCTCTATCAAGCCTAGTCTTTGTCGTTTAGACGGGAGTATCGGCAATAACGAACCATGACAAATGAAAAATTGATCCACTTCGCTAATGTTTCCCATCATACATTTTGTTCCTGTTGCTTCATTTCTCAGGGGAAGGAAAGCCTAACATGGTCGGAGCCGGGGCAAAATCTTATTTAAGTAAGACAAGATGACAGGACAAGGCCTCCCTCCCCCTACAATATATACTGAGGGAACGGATCGCCTTGCAGTCACGGCTAGTTCACGGGTACCTAATCAGCCATGGCAGAAAATTCAAACTACCATTACATTATAGTCGGTGGTGGTATTGCCGGCTCGGTATTAGCATCTCGCCTTCACGAACAGCATCCCGCGTTGGCCATTCTTCTCATAGAAGCAGGACCAGATGTCACCAATAATCCATTGGTGACTGATTCAGCGAACGGACCATTCCTCGTAGGTTCCGAATTAGACTGGGGATACTCTACGGTTCCGCAGCGTCATCTAAACAATAGAGTCTTGCCAAATAATGCTGGAAAAGCTTTGGGTGGAGGATCAGCTATCAACGCAGGTAAGTCCAAATTCGAAATATGCTACCGATCTTGAATTGTGCTGAGATTCAATTCAGGTGGGTGGATACGCGGCGATGCAAACGATTATAATGCGTGGGGAAAGCTGGTTAATGATGCCAGATGGAGTTATGATGGACTTCTACCATACTTTCGCCGGACCGAACATTATCAAAAACCAGGGCTAGAGACCCAACATGGTTATGAAGGGCCTCTTTACACCCAATCGGCCTCATCTACCGGCCGTGATTATCCTTTACGCGAAAATATTCGAAAGGCATGGGAATCCGTGGGCGTTGAGTACAACAACGATGCCAATTCAGGTTCACCCCAGGGACTTGGAGAGCTCGTGGAAAATCGTAAAAATGGCCAACGACAAGTTGCGAGCGCAGTTTATCCACTCACTGGCGTTCATGTAATGACTTCGACCCTAGTGGCACGTGTCCTCATCGATATCCAGGGATCGACTCCAAAGGCCACAGGCGTTGAACTCGCAGATGGCAGGAAAATTACTGCCACAAATGAAATAATTCTCTCCGCTGGTGCATACCGCACTCCTCAAATCTTGTTGCTCTCTGGAATTGGGCCTTCAGAAGAATTAGAGAAGCATGGCATTAATCAGATAATCGATGCGCCTCATGTCGGACAAAATCTGCATGATCACATGTCCGTAGCCCAATGGTGGAAATTGAAAAATCCAGAAGCTGGATATGCTCTTGGATCCCCCTTATTTAACAATCCCAACTTTGCGAAAGGTACACCTTTAGACTGGGTCGTTACATACGGAGTGCCTCGTGAAGGACTCAAAGCCGCTTTGGCCAAAGATGAAGGGACAGTAGATGATTCGCATCCGCTTCTTAGCCCAGCCCGGTCTCATGTAGAGTGTTTAACTGTCTACGTTGGAGCAAATAAATCCGAGCCCGTCATACCTATGGACGGAAGCCACATCACAACAGTAGTTCTTGGTGGTCTTCCGACTTCAAGAGGAATTGTCAAATTGGCATCGATTGATCCAACTGTAGCACCAATCATCGACCCAAACTACTTTTCGACGGAAGCTGATCGATACGTGTTGCGCACAGGACTGAGAAAAATGATGGAGGTCATGTTAGGCACCACAGAAGGGCAGAATCTGATAGAGACGGAAACTGTAGCATCAAGAGAGAAACCATTAGATTGGAAGGCCAGTGATGATGAGATTGACGAACGCATTAAAGCACGTGGAAAGTACGTACTTCTTCTTTCCACCCAAAAGGAATCTACACTAAATTTATCAACAGGACTGTCTATCACCCTGCCGGAACTGCTGCTATGGGTCGAGTCGTTGATAGCAATTTGCGCGTATACGGGGTCCAAGGACTACGTGTCGTTGATGCTAGTGTAATTCCTTTGCCTATTACGGCTCATTATCAAGCTTGTACTTATGCTTTCTCTGAGCAGGCAGCTGAAATTATTGGGTCTAGCTTTCAACCTCGTGGGAATTAGATGGACTTAACAGTGAGACAGGCAGGCAATAATTTGGCATGAAGAACCCTTAAAGTTAATGTAGTTGCCCATCAAATCAGTGGTATTTGCTTCTTTGAGATATTGAAAACTTGTACTATTTTGGGACAGTGGAAGCCCTGCAAGAATTGAGTTTAGTAGAATCCATGTGATGATGTGCAAGCTCTACTGGAGTCTTTCCTCCCAAATCTTTGTGGCAATAATACAATAATATTCCGTGCATCCATCTTGCCCCGCAAGATATGCTAAAAAGAGATGCAGAGATTGTTCGAAAAGACAGTCCTTTACAAGGATCCCAGTAAAGGTTTGATTGATCCGGGCGATTCAGTGGATTAGATGTATTTAGCGCGGCAATATTGCTGGAAACGAACGTGGTTCACATGGATCCCCAGGAGTACTAAGTAATTTGATGCAACCTAAAAGCTGTTGGATTTTATGCCTGTAATCAGCCCATCCATTTCGATTAATCTCGTCATTGAATTGTGAATCAACATAGTATATAAGGGACGCAAATCGCATTGAAATTGCTCGATCAATTCATTTCTCTTATGTGAGATACGAATCACTTTGGTCTTCCTCAATCATGCAGACTTATTCTCTTTCTCATATACTCTTTGTGCTGACATCAACAATCGCATGTGTTGAAGCAAGTAGCGCGACTCGTGGTCGCATAGCATCTAGTGGTTTCGGTGCACCTGGGGTTGATGCATCATATGATTATGTTGGTAAGAAATTTCCACCCAGTATACAGAAGACATGATTTAATCACACATGATTTCTAGTAATTGGCGGAGGTACTGCTGGCATAACACTTGCCTCACGGCTTGCTGAAAATTCCAACGCATCGGTAGCAATCATCGAAGCAGGAGGATTCTATGAGGTAGACAACGGAAACTTCAGCGTCGTACCCGGCCTCGCATTATCTGCTCCATTTCTGGGAACCGCGGTACCTTTTCAGCCACAGCCTCTTGTAGACTGGGGACTCGTTTCAACTGTGCAGGCTGGTGCTGGCGGTCGGCAGATTCATTATGCGCAAGGCAAAACTTTGGGAGGTGGTTCAGCCTTGAATTCTATGGCGTTCCATAGGGCAACCAATGGCACATATCAGCGATGGGCAGATATTGTGGGGGATGATTCCTACACTTTCGCCAATCTGTTGCCTTATTTCAAAAAATCGGTCCAACTGACGCCACCCAACCTAGCAAAACGCAACACCCCTAACGCGACAACTGTATATGATCCAAGCGTTTTCAGCAAATCTGGCGGGCCCTTGCAGGTGTCCTGGGGAAACTGGGTTGATCCTCCTTTCACGTGGTTTCAAAAAGCTTTCAAAGCAATTGGTCTACCAATTAGCCCAGTGAACTTCAACAGCGGCGTTCTTTCTGGATATGCTGCCTGGATTCCGTCGACGATATCTCCAAGCGATGCTACTCGCTCGTCCTCGCAATCTTCTTTCCTGACTCAATCAATCGAATACCCGAACCTGGTGGTTTACACCCAGGCCAGAGCAAATCGAATACTCTTCAATGGCACCGTTGCATCAGGGGTTTCTGTCGCAACACAGGGCGTCAACTTCACTATATCAGCCAAGAAAGAAGTTATCCTCTCAGCGGGAGTATTTCATTCGCCCCAACTGTTGATGTTATCAGGTATGTCTCTAGATCATCTCCCGTGTTACTAGTTGCAGATGCTGATTGATTGACTTTTTGTTATAAAGGTATTGGACCAAGCACAACTTTGTCAAGATATGGAATCCCTATTATATCTGATCTATCTGGCGTGGGTCAGAATTTGTGGGATCAGATTATATTTCCTGTCGTCCGGGCGATGGATATTCCAACCGGAGCAGAACTAATTACGGAACCTCAATACTCCCAGAACACCTTGCAGCAATATTTGAATCATGCTGCTGGTCCTCTGAGCTCCGAGAACGGTTTCATCGCATTTGAGAAGATACCCCAAACTCTGAGAAGTAACTTCACTTCTGCAGCACTCTCGGATCTGGCTTCATTCCCCTCTGATTGGCCGGAAGTTGAATACGTCTCGAACAGTGGAGTAGGCGTAGGCTACATACTCGCGGCATTGACAGCTTCTTTATCAAGAGGCAACGTAACGATAGCGAGTGCAGATGCTTCTGTTCCACCAGTGATTAATCTGGGATGGTTAAGCGATCCAAACAATACAGATGCTCAAGTGGCTGTCGCAGCAGTAAAGCGTATACGACAAGCTTGGTCTTCAATTTCCGCAATCACTATAGGCTCCGAATTAGTTCCTGGACCTAATATAACAACTGATGCAGCTATTCTGGATTATATACGTGAATCAACTTCAACGATTTATCATGCAGCTGCGACGTGTAGCATGGGCAAACTTGGCGCTCCGGGTGCCGTTGTCGATTCTGAGGCTCGTGTGTTTGGTGTACAGGGGTTGCGAGTGGTGGATAATTCCGTGACGCCTTTTGCAGTGCCAGGGCATCCACAATCTACTGTATACATGTTAGCAGAAAAAATTGCGGACATTATTCTTCGTGGAAAGTAATTGAAAGTGTAGAAACTATATAGAGTTTATAGGCGCATTTATTCATTTATTATTAAATATAAACTAAAATTAATTTAATAATATTTATAACTTTTTAACTTTTGATTGTGAATAATTATATTAAATAAAAAGTATGGAGTTTTATATAAAATATACATATATTTGAGATTAGATTGAATGCTTTTTAAAATATAATTTGAATTAATTTCAAAAAAACAAGAATTAAGAAATTGAATGATATTTGATTATCCCCTAGACTACGGTTTATGGCCGGCATATATAGCCTGTGTATAAATAAAAATATCAATAACTTTAAAAATTATATCAAATATAAAAACTATTAAAATATAATTCAAGATTAGAATCTAATAAATTAGTAATAATCAAAAAGTTTATTTTAGATTTGTATACTTTATTTTTCCAAAAAAAATTGTATCATGTTTTTAAATCTCATTATATTTCATTTTCAAAATAATATAATTTACGATTTCAAGAGCTCTTAGATTATAATACTTTGATTAGCTGATGAGGCATTATAAGCGAAGCCGGCCGTAATCCGCAGTCTAGGTGATATAATATTTATTGAAAAAACTTTACACCTTTTCTTTGAAAATAATAATATTTAGTAAAAGTTATATAGTTTTTTGATTTTTTTTATTAATATTTCAAATTGATTTTTTTAAAATATATACACATTAATTAATTTCTTTAAATACAATTAAATATTATATAATATTAATTATATAATACTCAAAACTTTTTAACCTTTAATTAAAAATTATTATATTTGATAGAAGTTATAGAACTTTTAGGAAAACTTATATATATTCTAAATGAAATTTAATTTGTTTATTTTAAAAGAATATATCAAATAATTAATATTGATTTATAAGTTGTAATTGAACGTAATTTAAAATTGATTATATAATATCTCAAACTTTTGAACTTTTGAATTATAATTAATATAATTATGAAAAGTCATAAAGTTTTATTTAAAATTTATATAATTTTGAAATTAAATTTGATTTATTTATTTTCAAAAACATATTAAATGAATTATATTAATTAAATTCTAATTCAATATAAATTTAAATTGATAATATAATATTGAAAACTTCTTAACTTTTGATTTATTACAAATATGTTTAATAAAAGTTAAAAAAATTTGTTCAAAATTAATATATATTTTCAATTAGATTAAATTTTTTCGAGAATAAATATTAAGTGATTAATTATAATCGAATTATAATTCATTATAAATAATATAAAATTTAAAAATAATTATATATTATAAAAGTTATAAAATGTTTTAGAAAACTCATATATATTTTGAATTAGATTTAATTTATTTATTTTGAGAAAAATAATGATAATATTAATACAGTTATAATTCAATATAAATTTAAATTGATAATATAGTATTCTAAACCTTGAAACATTTGACTTATGATAAATATGTATAATAAAAGTTATAAAATTTTATTCAAAATCTATACAATTTTAAAATTAGGGTTAGTTTATTAATCTCAAGAGATATAATAAATAATCAGGATTGATTTATAAATTATAATTGAAAATAAATTCAAGTTGACTATATAATATATAAAACTCTTTAACTTTTAATAATTAATGAATATATTCAATAAGAGTTATAAAGTATTTTAGAAAATTTATACATAATTTAAATTAGAATCAATTCTCTTTGAAATATATCTCTTATATTAAACTGTAATTGAATATGATCAAATCTAAATTTAATTTGATTATATGATATCTAAAACTTTTTAACTTTTCTTTCAAAAATATAAAATAAAACCAAAGTTATAAAATATTTTATAAAAATTATAAGAATTCGAGTGTCTTTTTAAAAAAAATTCAAATCGGTTATTTAAAAATATGTATTTTTTGAAGAAATTCAAGTCTAATTTCTATATATAAAATATATTAAACATCTTTTTTTAACTTTTAACTTATTATATTCATTCTTAATAAGAGTTATAAAATAACTTAGAGAAATTATGAAATATTGTTTTTATTCTTTCTTTAAAAAGTATATAAATTAAACATTTTAATTTATTTTTAAAAAATTGAAGTTTAATTTTGATTTATAAAATATTTAAATATGCTTTATAACTTTTAATTGATTATAATTATTCTGAATAAAAGTTATATAATATTTTATCAAAATAATGAAAATAATTTAATACAAATAACGATTATTTAAAAAGAATTAAAATATAATTTTTTCTGTGAAATATATTAAAAATACTTTATAATTCTTAACTTATTATATTGTTTATTGATAAAAGTTATAAAGTATTTTAGAAAAATTATTAAGAACTATTTTAAATTTTGTTTTTAAAACATTGAAATTAAAAATAATCAAATATATTTTATTTAAAAAAAAGATTTAAAACCTTATATATAAAATCTATTAAAAATAATTACTAACTTTTAGTTTATTATAATTCTTTTTGATGAAAGTTGAAAATCATTTAATAGAAATAATACAAAAGTCTTTTTAAAAATATTCTTTTTCAAAAAAATTCAAAAAATTTAATCAATATAATGATTATCCGAAAAAGAAAAAACGATTGAAAATTTAATATATAAAATATATTAAAAATACTTTATAACTTTTAATTTATTATAATTTTTTCTAATAAAAGTTATAAAGTATTTTATAAATATATTAAAAAGATTAATTTTAAAAATATTTTTTAGAAAGATTTCTAAATTGAATATGTATATCTATAATTTTAACTAAAATTGAATATTAATTTTTATAATTAAGATATATATAGAAAACTTTATAACTTTTGTTGACAATATATATAATAAACTAAAAGTTATAAAGTATCTTATAGAAATAATAAAAGAATATTTTTGAAGATAATTTTAAAATAAGATATTAGAATTTGATATATATATAGTGGTTATATTTAAAAATAAATGTATTTTAATTTTTCTGTTTATAATGTATATAGAAACTTTTATAACTTTTATTGAAAATGAATATAATAGAATAAAAGTTATAAAGTATTTTATAATATCTTGAAGAATTAATTTTAAAAATATTTTTTAATAAGTATTGTAATTAGAAAAGTAATATTTTTTTTGAAAAGGATGATCTTTTAATTTATATATATACAATATATTCGAAAAACTTTATAACTTTTGATTAATGTTTTTATAATAATTCAAAAGTTGAAAAGTTTTAAGTTTTATTTAATTAAATTTAATTTATAATTGATTATAATAAATTATTGAATACATATTCATTAAAAATCTAATCTAATTTAAAATGTATATAAATCTTGTAAAATATGTTATAACCTTTTTAAAATATAATTATTATAAATCAAAAGTTAAAAAGTTTCAAATAATTTACAATTAACTTTAATTTATAGTCAATTATAATTTAGTAAATTTTTTCAAACAAACTTTTCAAATAAATAAATTTAATCCAATTTGAAATATATATAAGTTTTATAAAAGATTTTATAACTTTTTATTAACATATTTAGAATAAATTAATAGTATGTTTTTTTTTGAATAGCATATAATCAATTTTAATTTATATTGAATTATAATTTTTAAATCAATGTATTTTTATAAGAAATTAATCAAATCTAATTTTAAAATTATATAAATTTCAAATAAACCTTTATGACTTCTATTAAATATGTTTATTATAAATTGTTCACAATAAAGGAGCAGGCTAGTGGAATACATATAATATTAACTATGTAGATTAATTATATTAAGGTAAAATCTAATTATAAAGTAGAAGTGATATATATATAGTAGTGTAGTGTATGTGCTACAACTTTTAATACTACTCTAAAGAACTTATTCTCTTAGTTTTTGTAGTTAGTTTTGAAGTTTCAGTATATTCTTGAATCTTTTAAATATTATTCTTGTATATAGTTTTATTAATCCATCTATAGTTATATTATTTGTATTGATATAGCTAATATTAATTAAACATTTTTCTATGAGATTTTGAATAAAGTAATGATATATGTCAATATACTTTGATTATTTATATAAATAAAAGTTTTTGATTAGTACTAGTATTTCTTGATTGTTTTCTAATATTTGAATTTTATTGTTGTTCTTGATATACTATAGTTGCTTTAAGTCTTTTAAGAATTGAATTATTTATTGTTCTTATTTAATGAATATTATTATAGAAATATACTTAGCTTTTATATTAAATATAACTACAGATATTTGTTTTTTATTTACCTATAAGATTGGTTTATTATAGAATATTATTACTTTATTAAAAATACTTTTTTAATTAATTTTATTACTTACCCAGTTTGTATTGGTATATATTTTAATAGTTTATTATAAAAGATTATATTCTTTATAAATATTTAATTGAATTTTTTTAAACCTAAAATGTAATTTCTAATTGATAATCGATTTTAAATATCTTATAAGGTTTTTAAGTATAATGCTGTAATATTTGGTAGAATTCGATATAGCTTATATTAATCTCCTAAAACTAAATATAATATTTGATTTAATATAAACTATAAAATGAATTGTATTATTAATTGTTTATTAATATTCGTTTATGTTAATAAGCTTATTATCTAAAAGCATTAGTTATAATTAATTATAATCCAAAATTAATATCTTTTTTAAAGTATATTAATTATAAAAGATTCTAAAATAGATAAGTATTATATCCAGATATTTTTCTTAATTTATAATTAATATTCTTTTAGATTTATTATAAATGATATATACTTTTAAGATTTTATTAATTTCCTTCAAATCTTTGGTATTAAATCGAGTTGAAAGATTATTATAAAACTATTTAATATTCTATTTTTGTATAACAGTAATAACAATATTATTTATATAAACTAAGAGAAGTAATTATTGTGAATAATTAATATATAAATATAAATCTACAAGATTTTGTATAAAATCTATCTTAATTAACTTTTTTTTCAAAAAAAAACTTTAATTTCTACCAACTT